GTCTCCCTCTCTCTCTCAATCAATGAATTCCGAGATGTCACCAGTTGGCGTAGAAAGTATCCAGAAGTTGCTACTTTAGTCTATGAATACAGAGCAGCTTCTCATTTTCTCCTCATTGTGTTCCCTGTTAGGAACATTTGATTTCACGTGTTCATCGACCACTTGACTGGAGCAGCTGCTTTGAGCAGCTATTGGGCTGCACCCTGTGTACAATCAATCACAATCAGCATCTTGACGACTCTCCATCTCCAGTAGATTGTGAGCCTATGAGACGAAAGAGGTGTAAAATATGTTCAAGTTCAGTTTCCTTGAAACAGTGATTTCAGTTTTGAGTATTACAGTTACCGGAACTCGGTGACAGATTTTAGAAACCTGCGAGCTAGAGATTGAGACAAGGGTCTCCATGACGAGATTCGGAGACCCTTGTTCAGGTATTATGAGTTGATTCTTCTTTCGCAAAATGGAAGCAGAGGTGGAAAGGCCTTCTGTGTCGGGCTGACCATTCAACAGACACTCCAACGCAACGGCTGACATTTATCAAATAGACCAGATTTTGTATTTCGCAATAGAAATCACTGAAGCTAATGTTGCTCAAAATAGCACTCAAGCTTCTCAACCGCATGCGGAATCAATTAGTCATATTTCATCTTCTTTACCAGCTAACTAATAAGCATAAAACTGTAATTAATTTTACAGATGGATACTATTATTATCTTAAAAGGTTCCGTTCAAATAGATAGATTGATAGACTTTAACAGTTGCTTACAGAATTTTAATTCAAGGTATCCATTCATTTATCAATTCAATGAGCAAGAATGGCTATTTTAGGAGGAATATTGCTGTGTTTAAAAAACGATGTATATACTGATTTTCTTTAGTTCGAAAGCTTGAGTATATGTTCTTAAGTATAAGGAGGTTATAAAAAAGAGATACTCCATGTAATGAAGCTGCTGTAATTGATACTAACAGTCGGTTAATTTTGTGTGTTAACTTAGTCATGATCAGGTGTCATGATGCTGAGGCTTTAGTCGAACTAATTGCAAGAAGCACAGACCGGAGGTGTTATATTAGCTTTTGTAATTCCAGGGCCAAACTCAGAAAATAGTGCAAGAAAGTGGCTAAGCCAGTGGCAATAGCATTGAACATCCCTTATTCGACGTTGAAATTTGGCAAGTTCAGAAATACCTGATTCTATTATGAGGTAAAATGCTTGACTTTCCTATTGGACAGTTTCTTGTCTCAATGGTACAGACAGAATCAACACATTTCGCTGATGGACATGTGGAAAGATGGGTGACATGATATAAGATGGTTTCTAATTCGATTACCCCATTCATCCTGAACCTTCTTGCTTACAACCTGAATTTCGTTATCTCTAACAACACCAGTCCAAACCTTTAGTCAGTACTGGGTCTATTTGGTCCAGTCTTGCTAAGGATTACTTAGTCTCCCCTGGAAAATGAGATTGTTTATTGACATGTGTATCAGAAGTCAAAACGTATAAGTATCAGCAGGGAACGCTCAGGATTTCATCAGAAGTTGGATCCAGAGGTGATCTGATCACACAAAGCAGTCGAGGACCATCAGTAACAGCTCTCATAGTGGATGGCGCATATAGGCCCCCAGACATTGCACGGTAAATAAATTGACTGAACCACTTTCACACAGCGGCGGATGGAACCTGATGCGTTTGCTTCAGTGTTCAAATATGCCACTAGCAATGAAAACACAAATGATCTTGCTTTGGATTCTGCAGAAAAGGCCACCCCCATAGTCTTTTCTGATCCCAATAATGGCGGAACTAGACCACATACACCATTATCAGCCGTGTGCGATATAGAAGCTTTGTGACATTGACCTTGCTCAGCACACTGCTTCTCACCTAAGGTACTGCGGAAATATTCGGTGGTCTAAATTTCAAGTTTGCTATCCAACTTTTTCAGTTGAAGTTCCGGGAAGTGTTTATTCTTCTCCTTTATCTGCTGAGTGTTAGAGAGGAGCTCATCTTTGAAAGTAGCGTCATGTTGAGGTGTATCGGACTTCCTCCCAATGCCTTTCGCAAAATATGCTGGTTCCAGAATTAAGATAACATGAGTTTAAGAGAAGCCATTCAACTAGGACATTTCAAAGACGATCTTCTATAAATTTTGTTTCTGCAATTTCGGCTCCCCTTCTTTCAAGGAAGGCAAAGTTTTCCGCTTTCAGGAACATTCCGGAAGAAAGAGTCCACTGAAGTTGGAAACACGATCATGGGTTCCTTGGATTCTGGTCAACCAATATGTAAGGCACCGAAACTTTCGACATATGAGGTTAAAGATCAGCTCATATTCATCTTTGAAATTTTTAAATAAGGTTTCAAGCTGTTAAGCTTTGATTATCTTCAGCCTTTTTACGAATATGAAGAAGCTTTTTAGAGCAGAATTTTGCTACAAAGGAAGGGGGTGCACATGGAAATGGGCAAACCGATGTTGACAAGCTCACTTGCTGGGAACCATAATTTCTTGCTTCTACTTTATGCGTATTCGAGATAGATGTGAGATTTTTTTTTCGAGAAAAAGTATTGTGGCTTGTAGCAAATTCAGTTTCTGCACGCTGGAGTTATAACTCACGCATGCTGAAGGACATGAAATATTCAATAGAATACGGTTTCCTTTCCAGTTATATAACGGCGCAAAGAGCTCCTTGTATATCTTTGCTTACAAACTGATTCTCCGGGAGACAATAATAGAAATTATTATTGCAGATAGAAACAATAAGCAGGCACGCGGGTATTGAAAATTTGACTTTCTCTATGATTCCCACCATAAACAGTACAGGAAAACCGGAGGTCATGAGCATGTGCAAGCAGAAACAAACAGAAAAACCTCTTTCTTCATCTCTCTCGATTCCAATAACCGCGTTTTCTGCAATATATCTAGTACACAGAAGAACAAGCTGCACAACTTCACCGATTTTTTGATGATAGAGGATATTGATTCCGTACCTCGTCTATGCTTCTCCTCCAACTGTAGCCTCCAACTTTCAGCATTTCTCTTAGCACTTTCAACTTCTTCCAGGACTTTACAAACTCCAGAATTTTTTCTATCACAGTGTCTTCTGCATCATGCAGTTTCATCAGTTCCTCCCGATCATTCCAATATCTTTCACTTTCAAGTGGTCTTTTGTCTTGAAGAAACTTTCAAAGTGCCAGTTCATCCAGGATCTCATATCTTCGAATGTAGTCTTCCTTCCGACCAAGCCAAAAGTATAGATCGGTTCCTATATCTGAATTGTTTCGATTCCTCTCCCAGTCCCTTGCTCAGTGTCAATAAACCACCTTTCAAATGCTTGAGCATTCTTCCATCCCTTGACGTCTACTCCAAATATCATGACTACGAACCCCAGCTGGCCCTTTGGTCCCCAGAACGCCTGTGCTCTTGTTGGCTGTAAAGAGTCCTACCAGCTCCTCAGTTTCTGTGCTGACACACTTTGAATCCATTGTCATTCTTAGAGGTCTGAATGTTATAAATCACCCGACTATAAGCCTAGGAGCAAATCTTTCAAATCATTCTTATGAGGCGCCTTTAACTCTAACTTGTGGACTCTTTGGATCTTAGAATCCAGAGTTCCTATATCTGAACGCAAGTATCCTGCAAGGGCACGGTGAGTTCCGGCTTTCTCTGGACCTCTATTCCCCTTCACCACTGCCTCGGCGTGTTGTAAGAGATCTTTGTATTGAGAATCTTGTTTATTTCGACCTGGATTATATGGATATTGCAGTATGGCACCATCACGGCTATGTACTCAAACTATCCCTGCTCTCAAAGAATTGAGAGCTTGTTTATACACTTCTTCATTATCTTCATCGTAAGCGTCATTTGTTTCAAGATCCTCCATGCAATCTTGAACAGATAATGAATACCGTGTTTCGCTAGGAGTAGTAAGTCAAAACAATCTTGTACGATCCACATTACCCTCGAGCTCTAATGATTACAGAACTTTACATCACTCTCAAAACATTCACCAAAATCTATCCAAAAAATCTTCTACTTCGAGCTACATGCTGAGAACACAAAGTAGGTAAATTGCAAATTCTTCTGTGAACTTTAGACACCATTCGGACAGTTTTTGATTCGTGTTAAAACAAAATTCGGGCCAACTATCTTTCATAAAGTCGAAGTGTCCATTATGTTTCTTTGTTTTTGCTAACTTCACGCTCTGACCAAATTTGCAAATTCACCTAGTATATGTGTTTGTTTGCAGTCTATTCAAATAGTGTAATATACTGTATAAACCCAGGTCGACAACGAATTGTATACCAGTATCTGAACAGAGTGAGTTCTGGGTACTTCCAGTGTATTCACAGATGCACAGAAAATGAACCATCTCATTGAAAGCTAGATGACACAATGGGACGCAGACAAACACGCAATAATGACTTCTACATGTCTGGTGTGTCATAAAAGGTGCTTGGCAAAGTCACGATTGAAACTAGTTTACAAGAACGTTAATCAATATCTCAGTACAAGATACACAAACAACCTGGCATGTGTTGCGGAGAGGTTCTAACAGTGTCTATGCAGATTGGATAATCATCATCATATTATGAAGCTTCTACTGATAAATGAATTATCATCTGGGTATCCAGAACTCATGAACCAGTTGCAAGTGTAAAGTGCTATGATAGCACCACAATTTTCATGAGCTGTTATCACAGATTAGCTGTTATCACAGATTCGAAATAGCGGGATAAGAAAAACCAGTACCCTGGTTGCAGCTTCTTTGTTGCTTTAAGCTGCCAGTGCACGAGGGAGCAGTTTTCAAAGAACCGCAAGGCCATGGATTCATGAATTCATTTGGAAGCTCTAAGCATCCCGCCAATTGTTTTCACCAGTCATCCGAGAATTTCAAACTAGCTGAAACAATTGTACTGCGACCAAGCGAGTCTTGACTTAAGGCAAAATTAACCTGATAGAGCTGTCTCCAAACAATATTAACATCGCCAGTTTGCTTCTCGAAGCGGGAAAAGAACGAGTTTTTTTTATGTATGAAACTTTGAGTTGACAACATTCAAGTGATACAATCAGGGTAAAACCAGTGACTCCTACCCTTAGACCCGTCAATCCGTATTCAAAACCTCTATTTACATACTTTTTGGATGAGAAAAACTCAGACCTTCACATACCAAAAATAACAGAAAGCGCCTGCACAAAGAAAGCTCTAAGCAGGGATCCGAAAGAACTTGAGGAAAGGAAAAACTTTCCGAACCTGTGAGGTTAGCCAGAATGTATCACTACAAGTTGAAAGAAATTACCAAGATTGAAGTCTTCAGCTACTCAGAGGTTAGCACAACCTAGCCATTTTCCAAGCTCCCCTACTTGGATATGCTAGTCTTTTCCATTTGCTTTTCGCGGATTAGGGGAACAGTTGTCTACAAATCTCCGCGCAGACCTAAGCAAAGACCTATCCCTACTACTATATCGACATGAATCAATGTTGTTGACCTCCCGGAGCGGCCAGCATCTGCTGCATCTGTAGCTACAGACCACAATAATCGGTGTCAGTTGGAGATATGTTACACGGAAAACATCAGACTGGACAGACAATATAATTGCAACGAAAAAAGCATAACAACAGTCAACATGTTTACCTGATAGTTAGGAGGTGCACTCATCATCTGCAAAGAACAACAGAAAATACATGTGAAATGGAACACCTAATTGAGAAGATTGACAATCACGAAAACCTAAGCTGAGTTTAATCTGCGATTCATAAGAGTAAGATTACTATCAGATTCTCTTAGGAGTTACTACGCACCTGATTTTGTATATTATAGCCCATGTTGTAGGCTTGAACGCCAGCGCTCATCTGAGAAAAGTCAGAAAAGGTTTTCTTAGTCCCAACTGACTAAAACCATAAAGCAATCTGATGTGAATGAGTGGATGTGTTGAGAAAGAAACGAGTCTCTTCTGTTTTGAAATTTCTCAATTCATGACTCACCCAATATGATCATAATCATACTCCTCGAGCGAATGGGATCCTTGAATCCAATTCCCAGGTAACATTCATACAACAGACCAGAACAACAGAACTTTGGCAACTGTATCTGAATACAAACATAAAAAGTTAGAAAGGTGAAAGGGTTACCTGCTGAACAGCAGGGTGACTTGTTCCCTCTTTTTTTCCGGAGTTGGACTCTCCCGGCTTATTAATTGAAGAGCCCTTATCTCCCTGAAATTACTTCTTCCATGTTAAAAACTGTCAATCTTCAAAGGAAGTCAGAAGCAGAGGATATTAACTGTAAATACAAGACGCTTCGCATCAGCCTGAATGAACACATCAAGGAAATAAGGAGGCTCACCTCCATCTTGAGAAGAGAGAAGTCGTATCAACGGGCAGGTACCCAAACACAAAGAATACAAACTGTCAGTTGTATTTTTTGTCGACTGTAAAACTGTAACAAACTAATATTTCAGTTGCAAAGACTAACATTCACAAAGAGCTTTTAGAAACCCTAAAGACGGAGTATATTGATACCTCTCGATACTTGTGCAGATACACCTTCAAGGGTTCAACATAATCTTCGAACCCTAATGTGCTCATGGCCCACAATAGATCATCTCCATTTATAGTTTTTCTCTTTTCTCTCTGACATTTGTCAGAAGCTCTGCGTAGGAAATTTTAAAAAGGGAATCAGTAATATGCAAAAACTGAATTGAATGATCTGTCGGGATATATGTCATTTGTACATTTCCGCAGCTAGCTTACATTCCCACATCAGACCACAGAAAATTCAACCCTGCGATTTAACTAACATCAGATTGTAATCAAAGACAAAAGCAGACTACAAAATAGAAAGTTAGTCGATTTTCCACATACTCGCTTGTGATGAAGCTTATAAACTCTGAGACGCATTCCTGCACAGTTTCTTTGGCGTCCTTCGCAATCTTGGCGTTTACAGGAAGCGCTTTCTTCATAATTCTGCTGATATTTGCTATCGGGAGAAATCGATCCTGCTCTCTGACATTGGAATTGTCACGGTCTCCTCCGCCAGCGTTGCCAAAGTCGTCAGAGTGGGAGTTGTCCTGACTCCCTGGACTAGAAGTCCCGGCCATCAATTCAACCTGTCGAGGTCAAGAAACTGCATGTCAAATATTTCATCATCTTGCGAGCGCTTACGCAACATGTATTCAACATGCAGCTTTAGAGATAATCAGGAACAGGCAGTCACATTCTTGTACACCTAGCGCATGTATTCTACGTGTTGCTGTTGATAAAACATAGTCCTGCGCGTGTCTTGCTTAATTTGTGTCAAGCGATATCAACAGATAGTGTTGCAGTGACAAGAGCCGAAGAGAAATGTTCGAGTAAGATGAACTGAACAAACGGGCTGTTGGAGAAATAAACGAGGGAAGAAAATTACAGAGTTTGAAATTTGTTGAAATCTGTCGAAGGGAGGAGAAAGAGCGCGCAAGAGCGCGCTTTTTCTGGCTCACCCCCAACCAGTTTCGAATATTTACATTCGAAACACGCATGCTTATTTCTGTCTACAGAGGAATCCGAGTGGATGGGTCACACAGAGAGAACATATTAAAAAACGACATGCGAAATCCAATCCAATCCGTGCCTCCCTTCTTTCTGCCTTCACCACTGCCTGGACTGCCCTGTGAGAAAATCATGCATGGCTGTTTACAACTACTCATTCGCTTGCCTTATGTGTGTTCGTAACAAGCGTCGTAACAATGAAGCCACCAGTCAGTGGCTGATGAAAATAGTCAAGTTGTCGTCGTTCGCCGCTGGTACTTCTGCTGCTGTTTGCTGTTTGCTTCACTCCAACAATGCTCGCTTCCGATGCTCCTCGTTGTGCCCCGTGCACCACGACGATCGGCTCTCCCCTTAGCGTCTATCCGAACCGTTCATCCGTCTATTACAACCTTCAGCACACACGGCGTCTGCTTTTCAGCGGTATCCCCACCCTGGGACCTGGGTCTGGTTTCTCCAAAAACAACCTCCAGAGTCTCGGGGTCGACTTCTGTTTGACCGCGGATCCCCGGCCCCGGTTATGCGTTTACTATTCTTTCCTTGCCAACTGGAGAGGTGGCGGGTTCGAACCGGTCTTGTCACTTCATTCATCATCGACCGTCGGTCTCACTCGTGCCCCGTTTCCATGACGTAATCCTGTAAATGACATGATCATGCAACCAGTTGTTGCGCGGGCAATTTCTCTCAAAACCTCCGCATCCCTTTAATACGGAATTTGTGATTAATAGCTCACATGATCCGTTCTACGATGACTGTAAACGACGACTCACTTATCCCATTTATCTCTACGGTTGCCTTTTCGAATGCACATTTGTAAAATATCTTATTTCAATCGTATGGTTCAAATTCAAATCATCACGTTATGCGTCAGATGGAAAGCAAATTTGTAAGCAATCGAGCGATTATTCAAACAACAAATCTTACTTCATGGACTGATTTGATAACATCATAAACAAAAATGATACTGCAAACGCTTTATGATGTCAATGTGAATAAAAACTGAAATGAACCAAGTTTATATCTAAATGATCCTATTTGTGAAAAACAAATATCCATCTGATGTATATATCAACCTATTACCGCAAGAATTAGATGCCATGTCCATTATTTCACTTCACTATACAATGGTAACAAGTGGTTGGTCTGGATAGCAATCATTGGTTCTGAAATAACTTTAGTTGGAACGCCTCATTGTTTAAAATTAGCCTTGCAATGTTGATGAGATGCATTTGAAAAGGCAATAATAGTATCGAGAGCTCAAAAAATTTTAAGAAATTCTAACATGATGGGTTTGCTTCAGTGTTCAAGTATGCCTCTAGCAATGAAAACTCAAATGATCTTGCTTTGGATTCTGCAGAAAAGGCCACCCCCATAGTCTTTTCTGATCCCAATAATGGCGGAACTAGACCATATACACCATTATCAGCCGTGTGCGATATAGAAGCTTTTTGACATTGACCTTGCTCAGCACACTGCTTCTCACCTAAGATACTGCAAAAATGTCGGTGGTCTAAATTTCAAGTTTGCTATCCAACTTTTTCAGTTGAAGTTCCGGGAAGTGTTTATTCTTCTCCTTTATCTGCTGAGTGTTAGAGAGGAGCTCATCTTTGAAAGTAGCGTCATGTTGAGGTGTATCGGACTTCCTCCCAATGCCTTTTGCAAAACATGCTGGTTCCAGAATCAAGATAACATGAGTTTAAGAGAAGCAATTCAATTCGAAGAACGATCTTCTGAAACTTTTGGTTCTGCAATTTCGGCTCATGGAAGGCAAAGTTTTCCCATTTCAGGAACATTCTTGAAGAAAGAGTCCACTGAAGTTGGAAACACGATCATGGCTTCCTTGGATTCTGGTCAACCAATATGTAAGGCACCGAAACTTTCGACATATGAGGTTACATATCAGCTCATATTCATCTTTGGAATTTATAAATAAGGTTTCAAGTTGTTAAGCTTTGGTTATCTTAAGCCTTGTTACGAATACGAAGGAGCTTTTTAGAGCCCAATTTTGCTACAAACGAAGGGGGTGCACATGGAAATGGGCAAACCGATGTTGACAAGCTCACTTGCTGGGAACCATAATTTCTTGCTTGCTTGTACTTTATGCGTACTCGAGATAGATGTAGGTTTTTTTTCGAGAATAAGTATTGTGGCTTGTAGCTAATTCAGTTTCTGCACACTGGAGTTAGAACTCACACACATGTTGGAGGACATGCAAATATTCACTAGAATACGGTTTCTTTCCAGTTTTATAACGGCGCAAAGAGCTCCTTGTATATTTGTGATGATATCCAATGATAGAAATTCTTATTGCAGATAACAACAATAAGGAGGCACTCGGTATTCAAAAATTTGACTTTTTCTATGATTCCCACCATAAACAGTACAGGAAAACCGGAGGTCATAGCATGTGCAAGCAGAAACAAACAGAAAAATGTATGCCTCTTTTTTCATCTCTCTAAATTCAGATAACCGCATTTTCTACTAAATATCATGTACACAGAAGTCCACTGTCCTGTGTAGACGCGACTTGGAAGAGGCCAAACAATCATGTCACTCTAAACCTTTTATACGTACGTAGTTTGACAGTTTTCTTCTTGATGTCATGGAGCTTACTGAGCATAGAGTTCTTAGTCTTGTGACTTCCAGTCGTTAAGAAGCAAAAACTTGAATCCAGTTCAGAATTAGAATCATCTACGGTCTTATAAGTTACTAAAGCTGCCTTGCCGATGCTCTACAGTCACATTACTCCATTTCCGTCATGGTGGACATTGAATTTCACTTGTCATGTTCTATGATATGAGTTGGAATGCTTTCATTGCACACATTCTTCAGAGATGTATCAAGAGCTGAGCAGGCCACAACATTTTTACTTGACAAGCTTGGATGCTTGGATGGATTGTGTTTAGATATCGGAAATTATAAACTTTCTAAAAACCTTAGAACCAGAGGGAACCAGAGGGATTTCTATAATCCCTCTTCATATTCTTCTTAGCTTATATTCTCACTTTATAACTAAGTTCTCGGCTAGGTAAGGCATGAGACTCCCGATGTCTTATCAGGTTTCATATGTTAAACAGAACATGTTTACGTAGCTGTAGTCCAAGATCCTCATACACCCAAACTCTTTTTTACCCTAACATACTCTTTTCAACGTTATCTCAGAAGTGTACGGTATCTAAATTACTGGTATATATGATGATTTCACAAATTTTCTTAACGAAGAGAAAGTTCCAAGTGTCAGTCCAGCATTTGAGAATTAGTGAAACCAATTAGCGCTGTTTGGATTAGGAATATAGTAATCACCGTCTTCGAGGTATCAAGCTCTCCAATACGAGTTCCTCTTAAGTTTTGCTACCAGTTTTCGAAGTTATTAGCAACAGCCATTTAGAGTCGCTTTTAGTGAACTAATCGAGGTGAACTAATCGTGCATCTTATATACAATATGCGAACAACACTTGAGAAATAAACCTGTATGGTAGACCTGTATTGCAGCGGGATTCTAACTGACGCAGGATCTGAGAATTAGTATCATAAACTTGGTTTCAGATAATTTATTTTCTCATCTAAGACCTGGGCTTAAATTTTATAAGTTTAAGTTGTTTTTAACTAATTAAAACCTTCCAATAGACTTAGATTTTATTCAAGTTATGAAGATTATGTTAAAATAAGGGGACAATTTTTTTTAAAGGTTTGTGTTTCAGTAAAAAGTAATCTATGATGTCTCTTAATATAGAATGTGTGAATATCCTTGAAAAATTCAAGGATCGATTGCTCGCCCATAAGCATTTCAAATTTATTCATAAATTTTGAACTGTTTATTGTCTAGTTTAGATTGCATTGTGTGATGCAAATTGATATATGAAGGTTTAAAATTAAATTAAATAGAATGATTTTTTTGTATATGACACAATTTGAAAGAGAGCTGATAGCAATGATCAAGTGAAATGAATTCTGATCAATTTTCAAACGAACCTACTTTTATACAGTTTGTACTAAAAGAGAAGTACAAAAATAAATTCGACCCGTACGGGATTTGAACCAGTGTACTGGATTAGTTGTAGATTTAGCACTTTTATTTACAAATCCATTTGTTTGTTTGCTTAAAAATACTCTATGAAAAAGAACGTAACGAAATCATAAAATCCTTTGCAAACGATGGAAACCACTGCCAGCACGTTGGATCGTACTTTTGTTTGAGTTCAAAAGACAAAGTCTCTTCTTTGATTACTTGTTTGGACATGATGCTTGGACAGATGGTAAAGCCAAAGCCATGTGATATTGCCACGCTTTAATGCACCAAAATCAACCTCATGAATCGCCGATACTTCTCTACCGAACTGTAAGTTATCAAAATTCCCCTCTCCATTTCAATTTTCTTCTGTCTTCTATCAGTAAAAACTCATTAGGGCTTGTATGAAATTTTTCATAAATCTGACAAAAACTCTAGGCTACTCCCGTTAATTGTTTAATAACCATTAAGCTCTGGTTTCTTCTAACTGGAATACAATACTTCTTCATGGCTCAACGTCTCGGCTCTTTGCTGAGGCCCTTGGTTTGGGGAGTATCTTCTATCGATGACGGGTCAAAAAATATCTTACCCAAAAGCAGTTCGCGCCGGCGAGCTGTATGACAAAACAGAATAATGTTTTTCCAACCGGTAGATTACGAGAGAAAAAAATCAATGCTTTTGTTTTTTAGTAGAAATTCTTTTAGATTCTCAAATCTTCATTTGTCGACAGAGTGAATTTGCTGTGCACTTGCTAAGCTAACCCGCGGGTTTTGAGAAATCATCACGAGATAAGTTACCAATGTAGCCAATTATTACCAAGTTACCAATGATTCTAGATGAAACTCAAACTCATGTCGACGACTTTTATTCACATGCATAGCTCGACCATGGAAAAGCTCGTCAAATCCTTTAACGCGAGACGCGTGTCAAACATCGAACAGTCACCACGACACATCGAGAGCAAGGAAGGGTCCGGTCCGATTCAAGTCGGAATCCGTCAGGCGGAGGGCATCCGTTTGGAAACAGATCTGCGGCGGCAGAACGAAAAGACGTGTCGGACGTAGATTGGAGTGCTGGGGAGTAATTTCAGGCAAACGGCCTGAAAACTAATAACAGGCCGACTTTGTCGTGTCTGGTCGGCAAGGTTTCTCGGAACGCCAATTGTTCCGCAAAATGCTAGTGCGTGCTAACGGGAGCGTAATCCGTTTCGACGGGGGACTATCTGCGCACTAGACGGCGACCGGGAACATAGTCGCGGCTTGGGGTTGGCCCGAGGATTTGGTGCGGAGGGTGGCACGAGAGCTCCGAATTCGAAGCGCGAGATTTATCGACAAATGGGGACCGACGGAGGAGTAGAAAAGATGAAATTCGCCATGGCAGGCAGGCGTAATTTTCGTACAAATGGAACAAGTGTCTGCCGCAGGATGGAGGCGGTGTGAAATTGCAGAATTTGGGCTTTTAGGGCGGCAGGGAAATAGTCGTTCTTGGCGATGGCGACGAGTCTCGCGAGAGCTGTGACCGGAGCAGTTTGCGGAGGAGGTTGGCAATTGCAGGATGTGGAGTCCGGTCGGGAAAGCAGAGAAGGAAGTGCTGCAGCTACTTGTAGCTGCAGTGCGTGGGGTGCGAGTAGGTTGTACAGATCTAGTCGTTGCGAGGTTGCAAAATTAGGGGTGCGGAAGGTAAATTATAGTTTGGGATGGAGAGAATCTTATGATTATGGAGGTTCTGGCAGGCGGGACTCTCTGTTCAATTCTAGGGATAGTGGGTTCAAAAGTCCTGCAGGTGTCACTCGCGGCGTGAATGGCGCGTTCTGGGAAGGGGCAGATAGTGAGAGTACTGCCGATCTTTACTACAGTTCTGAGGATGAAGTCAATGAAAAGGTATTCTACTTCCTGCCAGTTAACGCCTTTGAATTTGATTTCATAGCTGCGGGGTTGAAATTGTTGTCCTCAAATCCTCGGCAAATTATTTCGCTTTTCATTTGGGTTCCCTCTTGCGGTTATTGTCAATAAATGCTATGCGCTTTGTTACTTAGTTTCGGAATTCAAATTGGTCGTTCGTGCTGTGCCATGTCACAAGCTGTAAGAATATTTCGTGGACGAGTTATGCCGAAAGTATATGAATTGGTCTTGGTTGTGCAACGCTGTCCTCGGTTTCGACTTTTTCTGCAGAATCTCTATTAGGTTATGCCACTCCTTTTGATCAAAACGAAACAGTGTGTTGGCTCCCTCATGTCAGTTGGTGTCGAATAGCTTGCTGCTTTGACTTAGATAAACTGCACCGCTCTTGTGAGATGACCACCTGATTAGGTTTATTGTCTTTTTCACTCCATCTTATCGATACCAAAATGAGCCGTAACAATAATCCTGTAGGTCTTCATCGCTCTCCGCGTCGTTGAAGCGGTTTGGTTAACACGGAACTTTCTGGAACATTCATTTCTATTTGATGTGAATGTATGCCGAGAGAAAGATTGGGGAAGGATTTCACTCTCTTTCGGGTCGAATGGAAATCAGTCACTATATCTGGTTCAGTAACTCTCGTTTTTGCACCGAAATCTTCCTTGCGTCCTCCTCGTTCTCTGTGACAAGGAGTATTATAAACATCAATTAGGACAGAGCTTCATATTCATCACGTTTACTGCATCATTATCAACTACGAAAAGGAAGACTTGCACGGAAGCGTTAGCTATACAAGAGCGCTAATTTTACAGGGATCACACGCACTTCCTGCTGTTTCTTTTTTATTCCAGTTGCGTCGGACTGGCATGCATGGGATATCCTTACTCCAAGCTTCATCCTAGTAGGCTACACTTTCTTCGCTTTACATGTGCAGTATGTCTAAGCATCTTGCTAAGCAGCAGGTCACAGAAGAGCTTCAGTCCTATTAAATTCAGTCATAGCTCCTGCTGGACTTACTGAGCACTAGTACATTGTAGTGTTGATGAAATATATAGACCCTGTTGATTCTGGCCGCAACATTTCCTTCTTATGCGTAGTACGTGTTGTGCCGAGTACCTCTCCTCATACGGACAATTTGACACTCACCGGACAACTTTGTTTGTACATTCAGTGGACCATTGGAAACTTTACTTCTTGGAGAAGAAAAATTCAGTCCGTGTGAAGGAATACCGTGTTTTCCCTTTTTGGTCGACTTACTCAAGCTGTATACTGAGAATCCCTGTTGTAGTAAGTGCAGCTCCTCTTAGATATTTTTTTCCTGAGTTGGTTATATCATAGACTGTCTAAACAGAATACAGGCTTTCTTCTATATCTTGACCATTGTTTCTGTTGAAGATCGCACTTTCTAACGCGAAGCGTCCAGCCTGGGCTTGATACAATGAAAATCTAACTTGACTTCGTGATTGCTCGGAACTATTGTCCACATCTTCTTTTTTCGGCGTTGTACTAATCTATTTATCCTAAAAATTACTCGTTGAATAGTTAATTCGACAATAGATTGGCATCTCCTCGACTTTCCGAAGGTTTTCAGGACTGGCAGTTTCTTTATGGGGGATGGTTTCATTCCTTGTTGGTGTAGGATTTAGGATTTCTTCTCACGTTTTTCTTTGTGCATCATGCAGAAAGAACAGTCTTTGCTTTTGAACCTGATTCAAGAAATTGAGCCTCTGGATGTAAGTACTATAAGCAAGGATGCATCTCCAGACAGTACGGGTGCCATGAAAAGGACAATTTCTGGGATGTTGGGCCTTCTTCCATCTGACCAGTTCCAAGTGACGATTGAGACACCACCCGATCATCTTGCCCGCTTGTTGGTCTCCTCCATGATGACTGGGTAAGTGAAGACTGATCAATCATGTATAAATGTACAGCAAATACAACAACGATAGAGTGGCGAGAAGTAAACGTTCATATATTGTACGTTTGTTGTTTGTACCATCAAAAGGATTTCATCCATGTACAGTCAATTTAGGGGATCTCCTTCTCTCTTTCAGCTCTTTTGCATACGTCACAGCAGCGGATTTGGTCATGAATGTAAAGGTCTCTCCTCCGTACTTCATACACACAATCGTATCAGAGCTTGCGAAAATTTTTACTTCATATTTTATAGTTGCATTATATTTTGATCTTCCAACATGACACGAATTCAACTTTATCAAAATTCCTGATCTAACTTATTCCTTCGTGTGAGTTCATCGCGTTACTGAAACTAAGGGGATAGTTCTGTCCACCAGTCAGTGTCGATGAGTGTGTTTTGAGCTTGTAGGTGTGAACAGTCGTTTAGTAAAAAAAATTAGTAGGTTTTCTCCTGGTACTAGAATAAAGGGCTGTCAAACCGCGCTCCAAATTTGGTTCTTACATTTTGTGTTCTGTGCCGTGCGATACGAACTCGACGGGAAGCGATCCACTTTTTTCATCAATCTGTCCATTCGACAGTTGGATAGACGTCTTGGGAAGCTCAGTTATCGTAGCGAAGGCTTTGCGGATGTCAAACTTCTTTGTCGCCTGGGGCCACGATAAATTGTGGAAACCTTTGATAGCACTATAATCTGCAGGTGTTGAGAAAAATTACTTTGATGTGGAATTTCAGGTACACATTACGCAATGCAGAGTACCGACTTTGCCTACAACGCAGCTTGGATCTCGCTAGTCATGATATAAGTAATCAAGATCAGCTCGGAAAAGAAGAACAAGAAAGTAGAGATTTAAACGCGTCTCAGTTAAATAGCAATGACCACCACTCAGAAGACATTGGAGCTTTAGACGTATATGGAAATGATAAGCAGACAAATGTTCCAGAAGAACTTGGCACCTTATCATCAGAGGTCGCCAACTACATCCAGCAATTGCAGGAAAAATTATCAGCTACTTCAAAGGTAATGTTTGTAAATCTCAAAATCTTTCTTTTCCTTCTTTTGTGACAGAATTTGCTGGAGCGTGTGAAACCGTTCCTGAAGAGACCTTTGAAGTTGAAGATTGGGACAAATATAAACTTTTTAAGGGTTCGACTAACGGTTAGGATGTAATGTTTCTCCCATTGGCTTCATAAACGAAGTAATGACTTACAGCTGTACTATACTGGTCACTTTTGACCCAGGAGTTAAGTAATGGACGGCTGTCGTACCGGTTTGGATTTTAAGTGAACTAAACGCCATCAGTTTTTTTTCAATGTGCAGGAACTAGAACAGTGCAAGAATGCCGTGTCATCCTTGGAGATTGTAAGGCTAGAAAAAAACGACTTGCTTGACTACTTGCGATCTCTGGAACCAGAGAAGGTTAGTTTCACCCATGCGTTGTTATCCAGTTCTCTGTTACTTGGAACATTGTATGCGTGATGGTAATATATTTCTAGCTGATCAAGGACTACATTATAGATCACGTCTGCGCTTTGTACTCTGTTCAGCTTTCCAAGGTTGACAGGATTCAGCGTTTCTCTCTACAGGTAGCAGAACTTTCACAACCTTCCATAGAAGTTCATGAAGCTGTTGAGCAGGTTGTGGCTGGACTGCTAGGAACCATGGTTGCAAAACCAAAGCCTTCTCCTATACCTCCTTTCGGGACAAGTTCAATGTCCAGTCCGTGGGAAGAGTGCGAACCTTCAGAAGTTGTTGGAAATGTCCCTTTGCAGTTCCAGTCAACAGTTACGTCGTCTCGGGATTATTTGGCGCGCCTTCTTTTCTGGTGCGTAACTAAATTCTCCCACTAACAGTAACCGGGTGAGCTAACCCTGACCTGCACAGTGTTGCTAGTTATTGTGACTGAGGGCTTCGCAGGTTGTCGTCTCTGCCTTCCGAGAGCGAGTGTTACGTGGTTCCTTCTTTTCTAACTGGTAAGGCTTTACTTGGTCGCTGGATCGATACGGAGGTGGCGATCCTGCTACCAGTACACTCTCCTCTTTGCTTGGGAAGATGTTTTGGGTATTGTCGAGCCTGCCTGGAAGCTAACTGTGCACATGATCGAGAGTCTGAAACGTGTCGCTCTGGGTTTCGTCAGGTGTACGTTATTGGGATACCACATGAGGGGTTTGGAGTACCGACTTGAGCTCAGCCGAACACTTAGCCTCTCTGGAGAAAGCGTCCTCGATCTTGAAGATAACAAGCATGAACCATAGTACGATGCAATCTTTTATCAAAATTCGAAGAGCAGTTGGTGTAGGGTGTATGTCCACGTGGACATAGACTTACGCTTGTATTGGTAATGTAGAAATATGAAATCTTTCATGTGAGTCGTATCAGCCTACACTTGATGCCGTTATTGTAGTTTCGTTAGTCATTTTATTCTGATATAAAGTTCATGTATGGAAGCCCAATTGTGGTTTCTCATCTCGGCATTTTGATCTGATAGACCGCAGTTGCATTCTCCGGGTGTATCTGGAGTTCGTTTCTGGTTACGTTATCGATGTTGATGATCACAGGCGGACAGCTGTATGATGGTACTCTGTCCTTTTGAACGTAAAAGTGTCTCTCATTCTTTATCGTATGCACTTCTTACGTTCACAGCATGAAGAAGTACTTTTACCAAGCAATTTTATTGCACATCTTTTTTCATAATGAACGTGGGAGTTGAACTGAGTTGGGATGAGGACAATATGCCTTCTATCGTAAAATAGGAGCTCTATTTGGGTGCCACCGATATTTTTGACCTTTTGTATTTTTGCTCCAGCGCGTTTTGACTTTCTTTCTTTGGAGAGGAAATGAAACGGGATGCTGATAGTAAAGTGGGCCACATGGTTTTGTATAGCAGTCACAGGTAGCTTCAAGTAGTCGATGCTCCTATGCAGGACTACGCACTCTGGTTGCTCAAAGCTTAGATTTAGGATATTTCTTGATACCGGTTGGATCGTATGCTTTCTGTACTGTCGGCTGCTATCGATTCATTACAGTTTTAGTCATAGTCAGCCGGCTTAGTTTGCAATGTAAATCAGATACCCGTTTTTTCAATTTTTTGGAGCTTGGCATGTTGCTCCTGTCCATTGCTGCTCGACTTGCTTCGGTTCCAAGTGACACCATGTTGGTACAATGTTTTTCAATTCCACTTTTTCCATGAGATCTCGTTCGTTATGACTGATCAATAATACCTTAGTGTCAGCAAGCAATCGTCGCGAGCACCAAATCGTTGTACTTTCCTGGTTTGCTATCTAGCAGACACTCGAATGCCAATATGACACAGAGTGGATGAAACTACAAATTACTGCAACCATCAGTTCGTCTGTTCCGTAGTTACAGAGAGAAGCCTTTAAATTCCAGCTCTGACGTTCTCACATTCAGAGGTCCGTCGAATCCGAGAGCTTGCGGGCCCTTCGCTAATCTTTTGCTCCTCAATGATCATGAATTTCACACCGGGAGGAATCAGCCCATGATTTGTGCTCGGGCTGGCCTCACAGACGTGACATCTCCTACGAGGATAGCCGAATTCACGTGGAGACGAGATTTCCAAACGATTTGTCATCTTAGAGCAGCCCAGACCTCGTGTAGCTACAGAGAGGCTCGTGTTAGAAAAAGCGCGAACGGTTGATGCTGTCCTACTGCAGAAAACGAAGAAGTTGTCGCAACAGCCTTCATCTCAAGCACAGTCAATCGGTTTGGCACATACTGGCAGTGGGGAGACTCCCTACCAGGGTAGCGGCGGGAGGTTCCCAGTAGAGTTCGCCGGCAGGAATTGCAAGCCCCAAACCGACTTCAGGCGTCGCGGTACGAAGTCGTTTGTGCCGAAAGGTAAGTCGAGATTCCCGTGGGTTCACATTTGGTTGGATGGGGCGGGGAATGGCGGTCAAGGTCAACATTTGAGACAACTGTAAACGGATTGGGAATCTAAGAAAGGGATGCATCCTTATCGTTGCTGAGCCGAGGAAAGTCAAGGTCAACACGAATTCGAACCGGGCCTGGGGGTCCGGCAAGGGCTCTGGGCCTTCACATGCAGCAGACTTCCTTTGCAAGGTTTCGACCGGAGCAAGCAAAGGGGCAAGAGGCAGTCGAGTCGGGACATTTGGAGGAGTCCGAGACGAGCATGGAATTCGGTTAAAATGCCAACAGTGACAAAGGTCCTCGAATGTTTGAGCACATGATCCATTTGTTCTGGCTCTGCAGAGGCCTTCGACCTTTACATGTCGTCTCTGCGTGCCCCACCGAGGCCTTGATTTGTCGAGGGTGAGCTCAGCTGACCCACTGTGTCCACCAATTCTTTCCAGGTTCTTTCTTTTCGTCGGAGTGAGCGTTGTGGAACCATGGCCTAAAATTCTAAACGTGCAGCCGGGTTATGGAATGTTAGTCGGGTCCATGAAACCCGCCCCGCTGCGAGAGTCGAGCGAGGGTGGAGTGCTCCGCACTCCTGAGCCACGAGAGGGCGGGCACTGGGCAGTGCCACCTATGAGCTGTACGAGGCCTGGACTTGGCGGACAGTAGCAGTTCGTTGTGCGCAAGGCTTAGCAGCAGTAGCAGTAGTAGCAGCAGCAAACCGGGCTACGTACTGACTTCTGATGGGCTCTAGTGACGTGTCGAAATCTTTTGAGCGAGCACAGCCGCAGTGAGTGAGTGACTATTGAGGGAGGGAGTGAGGGTGGCGTTTCGGAATATTATCATAGCTCTAGCACGGCTCTCGCAAGAATGCCATGCACTAACCTAAAGTTGTTCGCAGAGCAGATGCCGAGCGAGAGAAAATAATATACAAAGGATGGACCGATCTTAATATCGGTACCTTGGGGCCGGGGACTCGGGCCCTGGGTATTTTGGTGCATATGCGCAGGTCCCAGCAGTATCCATCTATGGGGCGTATAATTTGACCTACATACAGTGCGTAGAGAGACCCCTGTAGAGATCTCAGGCGATGAATGTAAGGCTCGCCCCCAGCAGTCCATATTCAAAAGTGCACATAGTGCCAGCGTAGAAATGCTTAAATTATGCTCTGGCTCGCGGCGGTGTGCGTAGTGTAGTGTTCATGAATCTTCTCAGAGAGGGACTTTGAGATCTGCATCGACATCTGAAGGATCGAAGGAGATGGAGACAAGGACGGCTCGGGCGGGCTGGGTGGGCTGGCCTACCTCAGCTGGCAGGTATGCAAGCACGCCAGGCCAGAGGGGGCCTGATGCACCACGATACGGATACTAATTTCTCCGTTGCATCGTCCCGTCTCCACTCTGCCTGATGGATAGACATAGATAGACCATAGCCCATTCTGTCCAATGTCGTAGCTGCTAGACGTAGTTTAGGTGGGCTAATAAAGTGGAGGATGGAAAGAGGGGGTAGCATATGCTGACTACGGCTCTGCGTCTGAGGAGACTGGACGAGGTGAGATGGATGGGATCAAGTACAAGTGCCCAGAAGCAGAAAGAGAAAGGAAGTCCAGGAAATGAGGTGAGTACAAAACTGGCTCGCAGAAAGTGAGAGCAGCCGAAAGAAAGAAAGAGAGGCAGACAGACAGAGATCTGGGATAAAAGAAGTGAAATCCGAGGTAAGGACGCAGCGACGGAGGACAAGGTGTAAAGGTGGGGGCGAGTTGGTGATCGACACAAATTGGATAGAGATTGCTGGGAGGGTGGACAGACCATCACGGACGAGGAAGCCGTGAGCGTTCACATGGCGAGCCTCTGCGGTCCGTCCAGGCGTGGCTCCTGCCACGAGCGAGCGAGTGAATGAATGAGTGAGTGAGTGTGCAGAGAGGAAAGCAAAGCGAAGGAAGCGGGGGCCGGGGGGCTATAGCATCTCCGTCTATCCTGCCACGCGCAAGATCCCACCTCAGCTCCTCTTCCCGTCCACCATTCCTCATCCTGCCCACCTCAGCTCAGAAAGATTACGATCAGCTCTAATGGCCAGTGGCAGGCAGGCAGTCAGTCAGCCAGTCACTCGTCCTGCTCACTTGTCGTTGCTCTCAGAGCTTCTGCACTCGCATCACATTCTGTTCCTCCTCCTCCTCCTCCTCCTGCCCCTCGCCCTCCCGGTGACTTACTCTCTCCCTCTAGCTCCACTTTTCGTCCTTAGGCTGCTTCACTCATCCACCTTTTCTGTTTCTGTTTCTCGCCCGAATGGAGACCAATTCGGTGCATATTCCGTCCCTTCTCGAATCGGGAGGACTACGATCAGTAGCTCCAGCGGAATATCAGTCTGGAAGAACGGGCTCCACATTCTCGCAAGCGGAGGCCGTGTCCAAAAGCAGAGACGCAGCATGAGAGTGCGAGGGAGAGCTTTAGGGTGAAGAGGTACTGAAGACACATGCCCGTCCATATCTTGCACACTCTGTCTAGGCTCAGATTCATGGGCGAGCCCGGAGAAGAAATAGCCCAGCTCCAGCGTCCAGACAAGCCCATGCGGCCCCACAAGCACACCTCAGCTCTTGGGGTGCTGCGGCTGGTGCCGAATTCATTCGCTTCGCAAGACGTAGCAGTGGCGAGGAGACCCACTGTATACGTAAAGTTGCGCATCCATCGTACTGTCCGCCTGCCTGGAAGCGAGTGCGCGATGGCTGGGAAGGTTTGGCCTCGAAGTCATGTCGTTCCGGATCGGACTGCGCAATCTAGTAGCAAGCGAGTAGGAAGAGAATCCGAGGCCGAACCCAATCATGGTCTATTTGTCTGCACAGTAAGCGGAAGAAAAACCCCAACCGGAACTTTGAACGAACGAACGAACGAAAGAACGAACTCTGCGAGCCATGGACCGAGCGAGCGACCGATCGATCGATCGAGGTCAATTCGGCTGCTCGCGAGCTCGGACTGCGAGGAGTCCTGTCGGGGCATGGAGGACGGACGAGGGATAAAGCTTCCAAGATTCAGGCGTGCTGCCAAAGAAGACCCGAGGGCTCAATCCCGGCGAACGCATGTACGCTACACGTCGAATATTTCTTCGACAAACCCTAGTCCGCAGCTCTGTCCGAGCCCGAGCGATGAACATTGCACCGAACCGGACAGAAGGAAGTGCGGAAATCGCTCGAGGCAGGGCAGGGCAGGGCGGGGAAGGGCTGGGCAGGGCAGGGCAGGGCCGGCCTGCCTGCCTGCCTGCCTGCTTGCCTTTGTCTGCGCAGACGGAGCGGCAGAAGTTACTCGATGCGTCGGAAGGTAATTTCTTTGGTTTCGTGCACGGGAAGATCTTTGTGTGGGAATGTATGCGGTGATCAAAAGGCTGGCGATTTCTTCCGTCCCGAGGCGGATGGGATGGGGCGAGGAGGGATCCGAACTCACCGAGTGAGTGAGTGAGAGAGTGAGTGTGTCGGTTGAGGGCCCAGTCCAGTCTTGTCCAGTCCAGTCCAGTCCAGTCCCCGCGAGGCACAAATGTTCGCCAAAGCGGCAGAAGAAGCAGAAGAAGCGGGTTCAGAATCACAGATTCTCGCTTTTCTTCACTTCAGTCACTGCCACATGCCAATCCACTGCTCAAATCGCTCGCTCGCCTCGCCTCGCCTCGCCTGCTGCCTCGGGGCCCAGGGCGTCTCGGGGCGATCGGGGTTTCCGAGAAGAAAAGGCCAAACCCTTCTGAGCTCGCGGATCAGGCCATATCAGCAGCCCCCCACCCTCGCCTCTCGTCGCGGGCCGGCCTCGAGAGCTGGGCCTCTCCTCTCGGGGGTTACATGGGCATCCATGTCTTTTTGCCGAAGGGCAGCCCATACGGCAGCCCCTGCCGCTGCCCCTCTTGGCCTCCCTTTGTTCGTCCGCTTTAACTGGCGGTGGAAAAGAAGATCCGTCCGTCCGTCCGTCCATCCATCCATCCATCGCAGTTGCCCTGCCCTGCCCCTGCCCCCCTCAGTGTACTACTAGCCCAGCCCCCAGCCCCCGGCCTGCGCGCTTGCCAGCGGAAAGTAATCGGGTAATTGCGGGAGGGGAAGAAAAGAACTCTACCTATCATTCCAACAGGCGAAGAACATGGCAAAGTGTCCAGTTTGCCGAGCCATGATGAGCCACAAGATGGAAGAAGCTGGAGCAAGTGCAGATCGGTGCAGAGAAGAGCAGGGCAGAGGAGAGGAGAGCAGTGCTGTGCAGTGCAGTGCGGTGCAGGGCAGGATGCGGCAGCGGTAACCCCAGATCCGATTCTCGCCTCTTTCATGGGCTGGGGCTGGGGCGGGGCTGGCCTGTCTTCGCGTCTCCGTGCCTCGCCTCGCCTCGTTTCGCCTCGTTGCCTTGTCGCCTTGTCGTGCATCGGGTTGCAGCCACTGGCCCGCGGTCAGGTTGTAAAGTTGTGACCTGATATCGAGATAGGCAAGCGGAGCCGAGCCAAGCGAGCAAGCACTCTCCCAATCATCCCATCTGGCGAGGAACATGGCAGAGGATGGGGGGTGATGATGCCGAAAGTGGAATAAAACATCAGCCCTCAGCGAGCCAAGAGATTCCCGTCCTCGTCCGGCCAGATGTCCAAGTCCAAGTCCAAGCCCCAGTCTAAGCCCCTCCTGAATAGCCCGAGGTCAAGGTCAAGTGCAAGTGCTCGTTACCACTTCCACCACTGTACAGTACCTACCACCCCCCCCACTCGACCACCATCATCCGGCGGCACTAAGCCCTCCGATTGTGTCTCCAAACGTCGCGGGGCAACGCTCGGCTAACCACCACCACAGCAAGGTGGGTTAGCTAGCGATCGCTAGAACTCTTAGATTCTGACCTAAGTCGTGCCTCGCAAAGTGGCTGACGTAGACGGAGTCCCTTGGCCCTTGGCCTCCTTCCTCGGCTGCTCTAGCCCCAGAACAGGTAGAGAGAAATCTGGAGGAATCCGGACGGCGCAATGATCGTCTTCCTCCTCTTCCCCTCCCATGAGCTAGGAGATGGATGACCCGCTAACGCCGGGAGCCATGAGCTCGGGGCTGGGCTTGGCAGCTCAACGAGTGCAAGTGTCCTCCAGATCTCGACATCCAACAACTGATCCTATATTCCCCCCTCCTCTATTTTTAGGATAAATGGGTCTTGGTCTCGCCTCGGTGACACGTGGCCCTCGGCCTCGCGACTCGACCTCCCTTCTGCGCTACCATTTCATTAACCTTCAGCCACCTCCTTCTTCTTTTTTCGCTCTTCGAAGTGTTCGTTAAAGCCCTTTTAAACCGAGACTTAATTTATAAAAATTCCCCCTTTTGTTAGTTTCAATTCCAGTTAGGTGCTTTGAACCTGGCTTCTCTCCGCAATGATTTTGAATTTTTTATTTGGATTTCAAGACGGCTAGAATTATTTTAGAAACTGGATAGTTTGAACTTTTACGAACCTACGAGGGTTCAAAAGGGTTATCATGCATAGACATTTCTACGATGATTCTTTATTTCTTTCACATTTACGCTTCTATTCAATTAGTAAGACATAACAACGCTGGAGTACATTGAGTTCACGTTTGAATCTGATAAACGTTTCATTCTTGCGAGGAGGGACTTTCTATAACCATTTCTTTTGACAATCAATCTATGCTAAGACTATATGATTTCTCAGTGTAATAAATGCCATAATCTTAATCATGAGCTCAACATTGCATGTTCGGATACAGTGTATAGCCTTTTTTTAAACTATGTTCATCACTCTCTTTAGAAATCAAATGTTCTTATCCATTAGTTAAATTTTTCAAATTTAAACCTAGATATTCACATCAACCTGTCCAAAGTATGAGTTCAAATTAAGAAAGAAAACTTATATCAATTGCAGAATAGTCACAATTGACTTTAATTTAAAAAAATTTGATATCAAGATGGGGAATACAAAAAAGATTTTCAAACAAAAATTTGATCAATTTAAAAATTTTCATATTATATTAATTGAAAATCTTGATCCACACATGGATTTCATATTTTTTTTTACTTGTGCAACGTTGACTTTAAATTTATATCTTTTATCAAAGGTATATCAAAGAGCCATTTATCATCTTATTTATGTGATGAATATTAGTTTTGATAAAAAAAATTCTAGAGATCCATTCTTTACAGATTTAATATGAATATTGATAAGTTTAAATATAATAAAAATTTCAATTAATTCGTAAATTCATTACAAAAAAATTTCTTTTAAATTATTAGTTTTATGATTCAAATCATGATAGTTTTTTAATTTGCATTTACATATAATAATAAAGATTGTTGAACTCAAGCGTCTAGAACATAGAAATAATTTTTATCCTATTTGATTTGTATAAAGTTTTAAATTCATACATCTTTATTTAGAATTTGAATTTAATCTTCATTGAAAGACAAATGATTAAAATTTATGAAAATGAAATAAAATAAAAAACACTTTTTTATGAAATGATTGAGATTACGTGAATAAAATATGTGACATAAAAATAAAATTTTAGTTTATTATTGATGTCAAAATTTTATTTTGTTAATTTTAAAAGCTTCAAATATAATGAACCATGTCTTGTTAATAGTAGTTAGGCTTGGCCTTTAGTTAGAGTTTGTTCATTAAGTATAGGATTTAGTTCGAATACTTAGTACTATGATGAGCACAAGTTAGTTGAGTCTCACATGTATTCCTGATGGAGAGATAAAGTCAAGAGCTTGGCTATGAAGACCTGATGTAATATTCTTAATTTATTGAAACTTCTATCTTGGCCGTGAAAGCGTCATGTGGAGGTGAACTACATACATCGGTGTGCAATTTTCAATGTGCCGGATCTACGATTGGTTTGAGAGCTTGTTGGATTAATTTCAGTGAATTTAACAAAATTTTGTTGTTGTACATCATGCTTATTGCACTTAAGATTGTATCAACATTATAAGTTTCTTGAAATATCTTCATTGACTTATTCGTAATTTCACTTTACTTATTTTTGTTGTACTAAGTAGCCCTTGTTGTGATGTCTAATTTCTTCGATTTGTTAAAAACTTCAATTTTCTAGTTCATGCTATAATAATTAGCTTTTGCATTGGTGTCGGTGTACTTATACTTGATTGCTACAAAATGCTCATCAGCCTTGACAGCGTATTCCTTGCTTGTTTTAGTGGCTTTGACTGCTTTCTTTAGTGACCTAGTTTTTCAAAACAAAGATAGCATCAACTTCATCTCCAAACTTCTTCTTATTTTCAAATGACAGGGTTGAAATAACATTGGTTGTTTCAATGTACTTGTCGTTAGTCATTTGTAGGTATGTTTTGGTTAGGTTTTTCACTATTTTGACGGCCCACTCAAAATGTTTAGCATTGCACAAGCTCAAATTTATGTTTGACAGTCTTGGAATAAACGCAGTAGAAATTTGAGTGATTAATCAAATCAGAGGCTAAGAAGAATCTTGCGGGAGGCGAGAACAAAAGTGCGCGATAGTTTTATCGGATTCTAAATTGCTAAATCTTTCAAGAACAAAGGATCATTGAACGGTTGAATATCGATCGTCATTGATCGTTGACAGTTGACTTTTATTCATTGATGATAGTTGACTATGAAAGACAAGATTTCTGCCATCTCCTTGAGGAATGAGCAGTTTGATCAATCTCAAAAGCAACTCAACTACATTAGGGGGAAAAAAGTAAGTACTAGTCACTCTTAGCTCAAGTTTAGGAAGAAGAAGCTACCGATGACGATAAGTAAGTTTGAACGTCCACGATTTGAGGTGAAAAAATTTGATTGACAAAATGATAATGTCTTGTGAGAAGTGCCCGTCACTAATGTACTCACTATCATGAACTTGGGCTAAGGATTAACTTTTCATAACATTGAAACCTTGGAGAAAATTTGAATCATAAACAAAAAACAATTCAGTTGATGAGTTTTTTCCATACTCATATCAATCCTTGTCACTGATGTTACTCCACCGTGATAAGGAGATCATCACTTATAATGAAGTTATCACTGTCTTTTTAACCGAGTACAAGCAACAAAAGCTTTTGATGTTTATTTATTGCTCATTCGATCAATTCACTTCATTGGCTTGTGCCTTGATAGTCTATCGTGATAATATGCATACTATGGAGTAAAACAAATGAAAGACCAATATCAATTCTAGATATGATAAGTACATCAAGTACTAGAAATGTGGTAAATTTGGTCACAATCGCAAAGATTGTTGTAGTAAGGCAATCGGTGAATCCTCAACAAACATTATTGTAAGCATAAATACAATTATGTCCTTTGTATTTGAGCCTCTATTAAAACTAATGAATGGATTTTGAATTCAATTTGGTCTAATCACATGAGTATTTTTGGTTTTTTAACAATGTATGTTGTTTGTTGTGTCTTTTAGTTTTGCCTTTATGTCTGCTATATGAATTATTTTATCAAATTTTATTCAAATTTGAAATAATTTAATAATTTAAATATATCAAAAAATTCTAAAATTCTAAAAATTAAGGGTTTTATTTTTTTTTATTGAAAAAAATTTGATATTGAAAAGAATAGATAAGTCGATTATATTTTTGGCAGATTTGAAATCTAATTTTTGAATTTTGACGTATGAAATACGTTTATCAAAAAACACAGATTTCAATTATAAATTATTATAATTATAAAATATAGAAATTTTATTTTTAAAAAGAACACAAAATTCGACGTAAATGATAATTGAATTTGAAATAAAGGCATAATGATTTAAATTGAAATATATAATTAAGTATTTGAATTATACTCTTTTATAAAATATTGTATTATATTAATATAAAATTATGTATCATGCATATGAAAAATTATTACAAATAGATGATGTAAAGATAAAAAAATTTGAAAGAATGAAGTGTGAGTTGATATTTTAAATTAGTTGCAAGCATTTTTTTTGACATTTGACATCAATGTCGGATTTAAATTTACAACACAAATTTTTTTTCTATATACATTTTTTAATTTCACAATCAGATGTTTCACAATGAATAATTTTGTAAATATCTTCAATAATTTAAACTTTTGATTCAAAAGTTCATAAAAACATATTATGTAAGATGAGTGAAAAATAAAAATAAAAATTTTAAGATTAGAATCGATGTGATATAAAAATTGACTGAACTAAGATAAAAACATAGAGTGACAAGAAGCAATTTTGAAATTTCAAACAATCAAATTTTTTGATTGTCAAAATGAACCTAAAGTGATAAATTTCAATTTTTAAAATATAATATTTATTTAATTATAATTAACTGTAGGGTTAGCAAGAATAAGCATTGAAATCTTTAACAAAAAAATTTCTTTTTCATTCAAAATTAGATTGACAAGCAAAGATGTAGATAGATTTGACATGAGTACTCTATCACTCAGAAGAAGTGGAAATTCCAAATATAAACAAATTAAAATAATTGAATTAAAATATAAATGAAATCATGAGCAGTGAAGATGTTTGACCCATAAGAAATTATTTAACCTCAACATACACCAACGATATAGAGAGTTAGTGGGATCATGAGCAATAAATATGTGTATGTGGTGATTTTGAAAAATGAATTGGTTTGAGTTTGATCTTTAAAGAAGAAGGGTGTTTTTCATGTAGGCTTAAGTTTCGTTAGATAGATTTGAATGAAATGCAAAAATGAAGAATTAGTTGCTTTTCGTAATTGGAAATAAGACTTGGAATAAAGAAAACTCCCAAAAAATCAACAATTGAAAGTTACTGAAGGAATTTATAAGTTAAAAAACAACTGTACTATTGAAATGCAAAAAAATTATATCCGAGATTTTAGTGCAGTAAGAAATATTTTATGAATGTATATTTAAAAGAACTTTAACCTCTAGAGAGAAACTTGCAGGATTAAGCTTGAAGAATTGCACGACAGTGAAACTGTACATTAAACTACTTTAAACTTTTATAAACTCTTGGTTTGACATAAGACTTGAAAAAATATCTGATGTTGAATATTCACAACAAGGTAGTAATATTTTTATGTTTTTGATGATTTTTGCTAATCATGACATTGTTTTTGTTAGAACAAGACCAATGGATATATTTCCAATCCATTTTGTTTAGGTTAGAAAGTAGTAAGATGGATTTCATAAGTTTTAAGCATACTTTTGATTTTGGTCTTATGTTTGATGTGAAATGTTCAAATGGTAAATCAATGATGGGGTTTGTATTTGCTGATTTTGGATAATGATTTTGCTTTTGATTCCAAAATATATTATTGTTAGTTTAGTTCTCTATTTCTAATGATCAGTTTGATATTTAATTTTTGAAAATTCATTATCTCTAATCAACAGAAGTTTTTATATTTGCATCATGTGAAATAAAAATGTTGAATCTGAGTCGCATCTCCGCACGAGGCAAACAAACTAGTGGCTGTAGTCCAGGGTTTTTTAGAAATCTCAAGGCTGTGATGAGATGTTGGATTTTAACGAACCTTTTTGACATCTTTGAATAATTCCTTTCCTCTTCCTCGCAAAACCCAAAAGCTTTTATCAACAAATCCATAAGCTTTTTCTATTAGAGGGAGAATGACATATTTATTGATCAATTTGAAAGGTAAAGGTAGTCTCGCACCGTTTAAAATATGAAGATTAAATATATACCTGTAATTGAAAATTTAACATATGTCATATTTCAATTGATACAGATTTTTAATTATCATATCCTACAATATTTTTTTGGCAGCATATACAATCAAATTAAAAAAATTTGTCTTAAATCTTCTATTTTTTTCTATCAATCATTTGAAAAAACGTAGTAGGATCTAGAAATTTCACAATGATTTTAATAGTGTCTAACAGTAAGTTTGGCCTACTATTAATAGAGCATGGAAATCATATTATTTAATGACGTCAACGCATTTCAGTTCATCTACATGTGGTTAGAATACAAGTCATGAGGATTTTCAGAAAACTTTTCAAAATAGCTCAATATCTTACTTTGCATTCAGAAATCATAGAAATTTCAAAAAAATATTTTGATGTATAGTATTCACTATCTTCAAGTCTTTGGCAGATAGAGATATAAATTATTTCATTTTACAGATGTTTTATACAAGACGGAAAAAATTCTATTACATTTGTGTTAAACGTAGAAAAAATTGACAAGCAATTCGTGAATTTCTATATTCTTATTCCCTCAAATTTTTCTCAACAAAAACCGAAGCCAATATTGAACTATTTAGAGTAGTTGAAGAGATTCTTCTTGGTATGTATTGAGTTACATCAAAGTCAATTATTCGCTTCTTCTCCACCTGATTGACAAAACATTAATGGTTTTATTTATACTGGCTTTTGACACCTAAAATCTTCTCTAAACTATTGAGACTGATCCTGCAAATACAATTTCGTTCCATTACACACACATAAATGATGATATACCAAAACGTTCTGTATGCAAGGCCATGAAAGCTTTATCTTCTAGGTGATGTGTTAGGCCTTGATAGAGCAGTGCAGTAAATTCAGCTGATTGCAGAAATTCAAGCTTGAGTTTTTATCGCCTCTTTATAATACTGCAATACTTCCAAGCGGTGGTGGTATTGCGAAGTATACCCAGATATTTATAAACCCCAACATATTATAACACAAAAGATCTAATGATCATTTATAATAATCGAATAGCTTTATTCTTCTAATGAAACGAAAGAATTGGAAATGTTAAAGGGAGGTGACAAATTTAGGGGAGGATAAGATAGATTAACGAGCAGATCCCGTTCCTGCGGCCGCAGTGTCCTCACTCGCGAGCTAATGCTTCGATCGGACGTGCTCTGGAACTGGACCGGGCCGAGCCGAGCCGAGCCGACATTGGATCGGCGTCTGCCCCAAGCTTACCCCAAAAGTAATCATCGGTCCACGAACGGAACGGAGTGCGCTAAAGGTGCCCCTCTTGCCCCCCACTTCGAAGGCGGTTGTGCCCCAAGACAGCCCCCTAATGTCATCATCGGCTGTACGTGAAATCGCCCTCTTTGTCTCGGATTTCGGTTGGAGGAATACGACGAGCGAGATGATTCGTGGTGGGCGATAAGATGATTCGTGGTTTGAGAAATGATTCGAAGCGAGTCGATCGGTGGATGGCGGGCTTGGAGTGGAGATTTCCGTCGGACTCCAATCGGTCGATGCAAAATTACGTGTTCTTCTTTTCGCATGACTTCATTCTGATTCGGTTGTTGTTATGGTAGCGGCGTCGGGCGATTTCCCGGTAAAATGTGCTTTGGTAATAATCCCTAGTCACTACGATCATGAAGTTGCCAGACCATGAATGCGAGCACTAATCTGGGGTCGCTGAGGAGTCTTTAATGGACGTGCCCTGTTGCAAAGAAATTGGGGGTTGCTAAAAAATTGACTAGAATCAAAATTAGGGCTTGTCGGATAGCCTATCCAGCGAACGAGGTCCGTAGCAGCCCAGAATAAACCGAACCTGCGGGCGGCCAGAAGGAGCAAACGAGAATGCGTAGGCCACATCTTAAAACTTTTGAGAGAATTTCCAGAAGTGGTAACCTATAAAGGTTGCTTTGCATCGGGTATTTCCACCTCGCTGATTGATCTTCATTGATCATTTGCTTTAATACTATTCTATGATATAATGATGAGTTTTCAGCTCTGCTTGTGTTGCAGAAGTGTGCATATATATATCTGTGTCTATATCGGTGACAACCGCAGCGCTGCAAGTCCAGTATTGTCAAATTCTAAAATATGCAGAGAGTTTAGACCACTGCTATGTCGACTTATTTGATTCGGATATGTCGAATCTTGTACGTACTGCAGGATATATTCCTCATTGTGCAACTGCTAGCCCCGACCAAAAAGATCGTACTAATTTTTTTCTGTAGATTTGGGCCCCTTTTCCGTTTGCACTTAACTTGACAAGTCGCAAATCTAGAAATTAACAGGGATGGAGTGATACGAACGATACGGATTCATTTTGACTCGACGGAGATGGAACCTGGACGCATGATTGACGTAGAGCGTATTCTTTTCATTCGGTGGCGACCTAAACCAAAAATAGAAGGATTCTTTCTTGAGCCTCGGGCGATCGATCGCCAAGTACAGCAATTCATTCACCTCGGTACACATGTAGCCATCATCAGCAGCAGCAGCAGCAGCACGATTCAAACCGGGTAATATAAAAGCATGCATTCAACGTAATACGTTGTGCTGAATGTTCGACAGTTTAGACCATCGCATAAATTCATTCATTCATGCCTTCGACATTGTACGGGTACGGTGCTTTAGTTCCTTTGACGAATCTTGTCTTCTCGTGGATTTGTACGTTTGCGTTTGAACCATGTCAACGCGGGAGAAAAAGGTCCCTAGAGAAGTAGAGACCTTTGAGGTCCTCCGAGAATATCAAATCAGATATCAAATGTGCACATTTTTCTCAATGGGGTTGAGTGACTGACAAACCGATGAGACAAGCGAAGATGATGAGATGTAGTGCGATTTTTGGAAAACGAAACGTATTTTACGAATTTTTCTGTGTCATCGAAAGCCATCTCGTGAAAACTTCGCAGGTAACGTGAATTCGAAGCGTTCCAACGAACGACCTCCCTCGCCAGTCAATCATGTGGATTTTGGGATGCTCATGAATTGGCAGATCAGTATTGAAAGTAGCCATCCCTCGAGACCGAGCTTGGAAAATGTTTCAAATATTTTTATTCTTTTTTGCATTTTCACATCGATGCGTGCATGAATGCAGGGCGATGGATCCCAGTTGTCATGACATGACACATCAACCAAAGCATGCGCTTTATGAACGACGTTAACTTCTCCTTCTTCTTCTAATGCTCATCATCCCTGTGACGGAATTTCAGTTCTGTCTCGGAAAAGTGTCTTCCACATATCCCCATAGCAACACGTTCATTCCAGATACATACGGAGACGTAGACGCACCGATTTAGACCTCCTTCGTAGGTACCACTCACTAACTACGGTGAGGGTTTGCTGTCTTCCTCTGACTACTTTGTGCACAGCAAAATCGATTCGTGCTGGTTTTAATAAGACGACAGCGTGTGAAATTCCTTGAAAGAAATTTCCATGTGGGGAACTCAAACTGAGATATTCGAGGGCCTCGGTTCCCATAGCAAAGCTTGATAAATACAAACTTCACTTGGAGATTTATCTTCTCAAAAATTCTAACCCAGAAGAGTTCGACCCAGAGTATGAGTTGATCAATCGATTACTACTTTTCAGTGAGGCTTTGCATTTCGCATGAATGGACCATCGACCTCTACGAGTTTTAGTTATCGTCGACCTCGGTTTCCAATTCAATTTTTCGGACTGATGTAAAACATCTTCCAACTTGCAAAGCATTGTTTCTCAAAATATCCGAATCTGTGACTCTATCGTTCGTAGATGCAAACCAGATTTTGGCCATCCACTTGTCACTTCAGTTATCTCCACCATGGAACGTGATGGTTTTAAATATTCATAAAATTATTTTGGTTCGAGTCACGGGGCCTAACCACGCAAAGCACCAGATCGTCCAGGTAATAGTCCGGAGCCTACGAGGCCGCCCGCCCCGCCACCCGCGTGCGAAGTTACTACGACAGCATTGAGGCTCCTGATTCAGATAAGTCGAATTCAGGCGGGGCTGCGATGGACTCGTTCACGAGAGGGCGAGGCATATTTGGAAAAGATTGGAAATGACGTAGTGATGCAGTGGAGGGCGTACGAAAAGCAGCAAATTTGAATCCGAGATGAACATGGAAATCCACCTACACCTACCCACAGGAAAATAAAGGAAAATAAAAGAAAACCTGCTGACCCACTCAAGGGGGAAACATAAAAAATGGGCCCGGCGGGGCCTGGAATCGGACTCGCAGGGTCGAGCACACTCGTCTGGATCCGAAAGAAAATCGGGCCTACCGGCCAGTAAGTCAAAATAGTGGATAAGAGCTTGCATGGATTGGATAGTCCATGGCGCTTGCTGGCCAGGTGAAAGAGTGTGTGTGTGTGCTCCCTAAGCGCCTGGAATTGAATCGGGGAGCGGGATGGTGCTTTTGCGCGCGGGGATAAAAGTATTACGGTCTCCGAAGCCCCAGAAAAGCTTCGGCAAATGTCACAGGGGGTAGTCATCCGCAAGCCCAAGCTTAGCCACAGGCAGAAAAAACACTCGCTCCAGCGAACGAGAAAAGGAGGGGGTTACGCAGAGTGGCGCAGGCGATGAGCATCATCAGCCCTGGAGCTGCAGCAGGGGCTCAGGCGAGGGCGTACAAAATGTGCCTACTCCTCCACCACGGTGGGGTAAAGAAAATTATTCTTCTCATCCGCAAGCTTAGCCGCGGGCCTTTAAAAATCTCGCTCTCTGCAAAAGAGGAGACCAACATTTATTTGGAACTGGCATAGAAAATGGCCTCAAGCCCGTCCTGCAGCCCAGCGATGGGCATGGAAAGGACATACTTCCGGAAGACTGTCGAAGGGGGTGGGCATCCCGGGGGCTCGTGCTTAGCCAAATTGCGGTGGAAGTGGGCAGAAAGTTAAATACGCGCAGTAATACGATGGTATGCAGGGGGGTGGGGTTGGGGTTGGGGTGGGGGCTGATGAGAGGGGATGGGGATGGGGATGGAGTTAGGCGGGGGGCAACGGCTTTTGGCGGAGCTCCAATATTCCGAGAGAAATGAGCGCCGCTGCTTATCCCAAGTGCAGAAACCGTCACCCCCACTCTACAGCCCGGACGAGCACCCCCCCATGAAAGGGGCCTTGATGTGCTTGCTTACCCCACACTATCTGATCCACACCAGCTAAGCTAAGTACGAAGAGTTTGTCGGTATGCCAGCTTACAAACAAGGGCCTTATTCTCCCCCCCAGGAAGCGCAGCAGAATAGCATGGAAAATGCATCAACCAACAAACAAAGTCACTCGGTCCAGCTCATCGCCATGGACTACGAACCATCTTCTAAACGAACCCTACGACGGAATCATTCCTCCTATCAGACGCTTACTCCAGATCTTCTCCTTTCATGGGATGAAATCCAGCACATCCCACCACATTCCTCCACACTCCACACTGACTCGGTGTCAGGCCCATCACATGTCATGACCTCGCCTCTCTTCTTCCTCGTCGCCCAGATGTGTGTCACTATACCCCTTCCCCTCATCGAAATCCCACCATCTTCCGCCCCAGCTTTGTTTTTTCCCCCCTTCGCTACACGAGCATATGTTCTTGTTCCTCCCCCTCCCCCATCTCTCTAATACTCTCGCTCGGGTGCCTACACTTTCGCTTAAAAGCTGCCTTCTATTTTTGCATTCTGTTGTGCAATACATACATTTCCGACGTCCGTGCTTTCGGGGGCCTAATGGCCTCCTCCTCCTCCTCCACCACCACCATCACCCCCACCATCATCATCATTTGGGATCCGGTTACGATGTAGGGTACGACCCGTTCAACTGCGGTAAAAGGTCGAGCCAGAGGTCGTCGCCACCGGGGGTTGGGGTTGGCTTCGGGAGCCGTGAGGCCGCCACGGGCAGGCTTTGGGTCAGCGAGCAGCAAACAGTGGGGGGAGACTGACTGCACTGAGCCCACGGTTCGCGAGTGGGTGCCAAATGAATCTCCCGCAGCGACGAGCGTCCTTGTGGAAGAAGCAATGAAGAAGGGCCGGGGGGCTGCGAAAGATTCGTAGAGTGTAATAGGGGGGTGCAACCACGGTATCGAGGGGGCCGGGGGCAGGGGGAATCTTGCCCCCAGCGCCTAATATTGGGCGCATGTGAGGAGGAGCACACCTCAAGTGGCAGCTAAACTTGACCGGATGGGGGCTCTGCGGAGACCTGTTTCCCGCTTACGACAAGGCGTCTCATCATCGTCGCGATGATCGCCCGCCCGCCGGCCCGCCCGCGCCTCGCCTTGACCCCGTTGAGTCGGGTTCGGGGACGTTGGGTGTGGTTGACGTTGTCGTCGTGGACTGTGCGAGCCCTCGGGTGCACAGTCGGCTCGATGGCGAGGGGGTTGGGGTTGGGGGTGGGGGTGGAATTAATGGGGGATCGTAAGACGGCCTCGGCCCTCCATCCATCAATCATTTCCCCCGGACATGCAGTTCCGACGAGACGACCTGCGCGGGGCTCCGCATGTTACCCCCGATGAATGCTAATGCGGGGATGATTATTGCCCCGAAGCCCAGCCCCCTGGCAGAGAAGACCGCCTCTCGCAGCCCTATCTAAAATCTAATTTATAATTAATATTATTCCCCGGAGCTCAGTTGTACTCCAATGGCGAGGAGTGGGGCAATATGGGGGGCGCAACATCACGCGACGATGGGGCGAACGGGCATGTTCCAGCCCCTTAAATCAATTATTCGAGCCCTCATAAAGATCAATTTCTCCGGGCCCCTGTCAAAGAGAAATGAACGGCATAATACTATTAATACGCACCCACCTTTTCTGATGATTAGGGCGATCTCCCACTCCTCACTCCGCTTTTGGCTAATCCCAGTGCCAACTGTACGTGTCCAGCCCAGCCAAGCCAAGCCCAGCCCCGCGACTGTATGTACGATGCACTGTACCCCGGGGGGGAGGGGGGTGGGGGTTGCCGAAGCCCCGGCCTATTCAAACTGGTAGGTATGTATGTGTATGGGCAGCGCGCAATTGTTTAATCGGAATACAGGCCCCAAGGGAGCACGCACATGAAACTAATAAAGTACTCGGTGGCGCAATGGGCTACGTGCACGCATACTCGCGCGCTCGTGTTGCCGCACGATTTCTCACCGTCTCAGGCAACAGTGAGAACACGCCGGCGAGAGACTGAACATCAAGGCTCGATGGGCATTTTGACCCGGGCGGGGGGCTGGGCGAGAGCGGACAAGAGCGAGGGGCTTAGAGGGCGAAGAAACGATGGAAAAGTACAGGAGCGAGCATACGCCGCTCTGGCCCCAGGCCCCTCTGTATGGCCCAGAATAGCAGGGCATGGTGGCTGGGCCGAGCGGGGGCGGGCTGCTGCTGCCTCCTCGATCGGCCTCCATCGACACGCGACTACAGGGCTGCCCCTCTGCCATGTGTGCCATGTCACCCCCCGTCGGGGGCTACAAGCTCCATACGAGCACATGCCAGCGGCGAAGCACCTTACCGGTTATCCCCCTTCGATCCCGCCAGCTCCAGCAAAAGTACTATGGATCTCTGTCGGGTTGGAAATTACCTCCGTGTCTTGCCCCTCACAGGCACGTGGACGGGGGGAAGAGTCATCTGAGGGAGGCGGTGCGTGGCGAGGGGCATGGCAAAGGACTGCTGGCACCACGGGTAAGCATTGACCTAGTTAACCTCCCCCGCCTTTACTTACGTTCGGTCAAAGATGTCGGGTACGTGCCGGTGGCCAGAGACCTGCAACCGAGGATTAACCCCGACGATTAGCGGGTTGATTACGGTGATGAGATGAGGATTAAGCCCCCGGGCACGTGTCCACCAGTCGTACTCCTCGACCGGAGGTAATTGTGCACGTCAATCCGAGTTGGATAATTTCTGGCACCACGTGGATTTGTCAGCTTGTCGCCGGCACGTCCGCTCCCTCGACCCAAACTTTTCACGGACGGCAGATATGGGGCTTGGGGGAAAGGGGAGGGCTTTGGGGGTGAGGGGGGTTTAGGCCACCACCACGGAAGGGAGATCCCGCGGGCGACGTAGCGGGTGGACGGGGGGCGACGGACGGACGGACGGAGGTCGGGGGTTAGCGTACCTGGGCGGGGGAAGGAGCATCTACGCCAAATCGCGGCCTAATCTGTGTACAGTGGCTATTTAGCAGAGAGACCGTTGGTGTTAGGAAGGGAGTGACAGGGAGGGGGGCAAACGACAAGAGTAGCAGGGCGTGTGGGGAAGCGGGAGGGAAGGCGGGAGGCAGGGATCAACAACTGGCACTCTATGCCCATCCAATAACTTCGCATGACATACATTGGAACCGATGGGTCGACGCAAGCGCGATGGATCTGATGGGACGGGACGGGACGGGGGGCTAGCGGGGGCAGATCGGGAAAAGCGAGGTCGGCCGCCTGCGGGCCTTATCCCGATCGACAATGCCCCACCGCTTTGGCACAGTGGCGAAGGCGACGAGTGCCGACGGGGCGGTGAGAGACCGACGGTCGCGGGTGCAACGGATCCAGCCGGGCAGCCGAGCGGAAAAGAGGAGGAGCAGGAGGAGGAGGGGGTAATCCTTCGCGTGGGCCGGGGGGCAAAGGGGAGTGCGATTCCGGGCAGGGGCAGGGGGAGAGCAGGGGCAGGGGCAAGGGTGGGGGCAGCGGGGCCCAAAGGCGCAAAAAGATGTTCGCGGGGGGACGGGAACGGATGGGACGGGCCGGGAGGGAGGGCCTGAGCGCCTGCCTGCCTGCCTCCATGCAGACGAAGACGGGGCGAGAGAGAGTGTAACAGAAGGAGCAGAGAGCATCGGCACAAGCGACAGAAGGCACCAGTGGCAACGTAGTGCTGCAGCTGGCCGGGGTTGTTGGTTGGGTGCACTGCTCTGCTCTGGACCCCTCTGCCTTGCTCGGCTGGACGCCCGTCGCTAGTCCTTAGCCCGCGCCCTTTTCCTTACTTGTCCATCCCCACTCCCATTCTGCAGCATCCGCAGTGCCCACTGCTGCACTACTTCTGCCTTGCCTCCTGGCCTGGATTACTGCCTGCCTGCCTGCCTGCCTTGCCTGCCCGTTCAGAAAAACAGCCCCGCCCAGCCCGTCAGCCCATCGGCAGCAGCAGCAGCAGCAGCCCTCCCTCCCTCCCTCCGACTCCCTACTACTCTCCCCTCTAGTTGTGCCTCAAGGGGAGAAGACAAATTCCTCCTCAGCTGAGATCCTCGCCGATTGCGAGTGTGTGGGTTTGTGTTTCGGAGTGCGTGAGTGAGGAGTGAGTGTGCAGCGAAGCAGAGTGAGCAAGTTTGTGTTCAGGCATGGTGCCCGGCCTTTAAGGAACGGAACGGACTGACGGGAGGTACGAGTCAGAATTCGGTTTGCTCCGCTCGCTGGTACCGGTTCGCCAGGCCTGGCCTTGCCCCTTTGCTCCCCCCCCCCCCCTCCCCCCTTCCTTCCTTCCTCCCTTCCTTGAGCCCCCCGGGGGGCTGGCTGGCTGGCTTCCCCGAGCGGGCCTCCCTCCCTCCCTCCCTGCCCCCCGTCCCACTACTACTTCCCCCTTTGCTTTGGCCGAGCACAGCATAGCATAGCGAGAGAGGAGTTGTATTTCATTAGACAGGTAGTGGACTGGGATGCTCTTGTTGAGCGAGCCGCGTGTCGTCTCGCGATCACTTCTTAGGAGCTTTGGTTTGCCGTGTTGTGTCTCTCGGACGGGGGGAGAGATCAGAGAGTGAGAGCAGGAGGAAGAACAAGTTTGAGGGAGGGCAGCTACCGTCCGTGAGGGTGTGCTTCGTTCCTCCTGTCTGGCTGTCTGTCTGTCACTCCACTGTCTCTTGGTTGGCTGCTCCTTCCCTTCTTCACTGCTTGCCTTCCCTTCCCTTCCCTTCTCTTCCTCCCTTCCTTCCCGTCCCGTCCCTTCCCTTCTTGCTCTCCTGCTTCCCCTTTTAGACTATTACTTGTGCTCTCGACTGTCACTCTTCTCCTTGCCATCGGAAGAAAGTGTAGCAAGCCGGTGGACCGGAGAGCTGCTGCTTGCTTCCACTTTTGTTTCTTCTCTCCGCGCGAGTCCAGTGCAGTGCAGTGCAGTCCCGTGAGTCCGTGTGTGGTGTGGTTGTGCGTTGCTTTACGAACAATTGTGTTGCTTTCAGGCTTGTTCCTTGTTCGTGGGACTAAACAAGTAATCAGGCGGCCCGAAGCGTGGAATGTGCGATTGATTGTTGTTGACCGGATTGAGGTGGGAGTACGCTTCGGCAAACAAAGCGTCGAGAGAACACAACAGCAGCTCGTAGAGAGAAAAGAGTGAGCGAGAGTGCGAGTGACAGTCGTCGAGGAGAGCCGAGGAGAGAGAGAGTGAGAGAGAGAGAGAAAGAGAAAGAGCTAGAGATAGAAAGAGAGGGGAAGGGAGAGAGAGAGAGAGAGAGAGAGAGAGAGAGGGAGAGTTGTAAGATTATGGCCGGAACAGGTGGGCTGCCTCCTATAACATCAACGACAGCAGTAGATAGCGTCGAGTAGAGTTTCGAGAGTTGCTTGAGCGCGGTATGCGAAGCAGGTGCCATGGAGGATCAGAAGTGGCGCTGAATTCTGGCCGTAGAAGAGGAAGCTCGTCGTTCTCAGGTTTAGAAGCGGAGAGGGGAAGCAGATTGAGGTCAGATTTGGGAGGCGCGCAATGGCAGCGGGCGGAGCTGGAGGAGGAGCTGGGGGCGGCGGCGGAGGTGGAGGCCAAGGGGGGTACGGTGACACCACCTACACCAAAGTCTTCGTAGGAGGACTAGCATGGGAGACGCAGCGTGACACGATGCGCCGGCACTTCGAACAATTTGGAGACATCCTGGAGGCCGTCGTCATCACTGACAAGAATACCGGGCGCTCCAAGGGCTATGGCTTTGTGCGCTTCCCCCCCTTCCCACCCTCTTTCCAGCATTCACCTCCCATCGCTCCATCCTCCCTCAATCCCCTCAATCCATCTCTCAATCGCTCCCTCAATCGCTCCTCTCCTCTCCTCTCCTCTCCTTCATGGCAATGGTTCCTTCGTTCCTTCGCTCCTTGGATGGTTGGATGGTTGGTTGGATGGATAGATGATGCTCAACTTCTGATGCGATGAGATGAGATGAGATGCGATGCGATGCGATGCGATGAGACGATTCGCTGCCCCCGCCACTGATGCCATTGTCCTGAGCAGACTCTCTTCTCGCGATTCGAATGCACCCCGCTAAGCCCCGCCGAGCACCGCCCAGCCCCCCTGGTGCAATCCGTCGGGCCGCCTCTTGCGCTCTGGCTGGTCGGCGGGGCGGGGGCGCCAGATTCTGCCCCAGGCCTGCAGGTCTCGGCGGCTGGCGGAGCCGCTGGTGCGGAATGCACCGGCGGCGGAGGTTTCTGACAGACGAAGCGAGTGATCTCGAGATTGAGCTGTACTCCAGCTCGAGACTCGAGTGGATTCGATGTCAGATCCTCGGTCCTGCGAACTCGGATCCCCATTCCCCGAAGTCTAGAGCCTCGCAAGATCATGAGCAATGGGCATCCCGGATCACGTGGACATGGATGGAACCTGCAGTCGTAGCTCGGCGCATCCCCGTAATGCTCCGGCTGCCGGATTCGATCACTCGTGGCCTCGTGGCTCCGCAGCTCGCAGATTGGATTCAGGTCGAGGCTCTCGTGCCTCGCGGGCGGGCGGGCGGATCGAGCGCCGAGATGTCGAGCTCATGCGAGGAGGGCATCGGGGCGGTGTGAGACTGTGAGAGAAAGCGAGAGTCTGTGAAATGGAGAATGGATCTTGCCTCGCCTTTGTCAGATTCCTAGATGTGCCTAGTTCTGGGCCTCTGCGTGCCACAGAGCGCTCGAGATGGCCCGAGAGTGAGAGACGAGAAGCGCCCCGTTCTGGTTGTGAGATTGAAAAATTATTACGGTTGCAGGTAACATTCAGAGACGCGGAGGCAGCGCGTAGAGCTTGCGCAGATGCGACGCCAATCATCGATGGAAGGCGTGCCAATTGCAATCTGGCGTCGCTCGGCAATCGCAACCGCCCACATGGTCAGCACGGTCTGTCTCTGCACTCTGTCTTTCTGTCCCCACTCCTCCTCCTCCTCCTGCTCCTCTCACGATTATCTCTTTTCTCCCCGTTATATTTACGTTCAGCTGCATATACTCGAGCACCCGCACCCTCCCTCCCTCCCTTCGCCTCGCCTCGCCTCCCCATCCCCTCCCCTACCTCTGCCCGCCCCGAATCCATGATCTCGTTTGGCGCTCATGGAACATCGTTTGATCTGGTCTGGCTGCTCATGAATTCAAGGGACTGGTGGGGGGGAAATCAGAAGCTGGGAATTGGGCTGGGCTGCATCTGGGTCAGGGTTGGGTGGCGGGGATGGGTGCACCTCCGCGCCCCTTCGTCTCGTCCTAACCCGTGGCTGCCGAAACCAATGTCGTTCTTTCCTTCGTTCCTTCGTTCGGTGCTTAGCCCAATGTTGTGTTTCATGTAGCTGTAGTCCCGACGGGTTAGATCTGCCCACTGCAGCAGCAGCTCCACGCCTGTCGATAGCGATGTCGTCGATGACCCTGACAGATTAGCCACAGAGCCCTTCCGTCGTCCACACCACACCACACCACACCACTCGTTCCATCCATATGCCTCCGTGTGGCTTCCGATCATCGGGTTTTGATTCTGTCTGCCTGCCTGCCTGCCTGGGCATTTGCCGTGGTGTTCTTTCTAGCCGCCTTTCTGTGTAGAGAATGTGGCAGAAGCGTTTGATGCTCGGCAGATGTGTTCTGTGAGTGCTTTGGCGTGGGGCTGCCTGCCTGCCTGCCTGGTAGAGATTTCGAGCCAGCCTTAAAGCTTTTGATTCAGGTAGGCTCGGAGATTGAGCTTGCTAGATAGGATTGACCAATCCGAGATGCGATGTAGCTAGGGCCAGCAGAGGTGTGGATTTGTGAGGTGAGGTGAGACACCGTAGATCTTTCTACAGACTGATAGCGCAGTAGGAGAGCTTGTTCGATCTATGACCAAGGAAGCGGATTCGTAGTCCTAGGTCTGATGTATCGTTAGCTCATGGTACAGTACAGCCAGCCCGCCGATGTCTGCAAGTGCTGCGCTCCATCGTAGATGATGTGATGTGCAAAAGTACGTTCTAGACTCCGGGAGCCAGAGAGACCGAGCACCACGCCCGAGACGGGAGGTTGCAAAGAAAGTCACATGGTTAACTCAGCCAGCTGGAGATACTACAATCAGTACTACTTCTACTAAGGAAAGAACTTCTGCCTGCCATGGGAAAACCTGGGACGGGACGGGGGATTGGGAGAAGGCATTGCTGTGGACTGATGAAGATGCACGTTTCTCTTTTCCAATTATCTAATGCGCTCAGGCAACCGGTTTCGGCCAATGACTCCTTTTCCTGCAGGCCCTCAGGCGGGAGGGCCTGGGTACACCGGCGCTCCGAGTTTCCCTCAAGCGGGTGCCCCTTTCACTGCTTATCCGCAGCAAGGTTTCACCACCTACCCGCAGTATGCCGGGTGAGTGCCCCCACTCTGATCTCCCAGTTCGATTTGACACTTGAGATTTGAGAATTGAGATTTGAGATTTGAGATTTTAGACAGTGGATTTGAGATTTGAGAATTGTGATTTGAGATTTTAGACAGTGGATTTGAGATTTGAGATTTGAGATTTGAGATTCGAGACGATTTGTGGAGTGGATTTGTGGAGCTGAGTGAAATTCGATGGCATGCGCGCTGACGGTGACCGTGGGTGGTGTGGTTGGCAGCTACCCGCAGTACCCCCCGGATTACACTGGTTACCCCCAGGTAGATACTTCCAGTGAAATTTGTGATTCGCAATTTGTGATTTCCATCGACAATTCTGGACCTGAAAAGAAAAGTGTTGCGTGGAAGCTGAATTGCGTGGTTTTCGAGAGAATGCACAAGCGCGTGTTTGATTTTAAGCGTGTGAAGGAGGAGTTGGGGAGCGGACGATCCAATCCAATTCCTTCGCGTTCGCCCTCCCATGCCAGCCCATGCAGTCGTGCTCCGGTAGGCTGGTAGGGCATGCGGACATGCGGGCGTGCGGGCGGGCGAGCGTGGGTGCGTGCGTGGGTGCGTGCATGCGGGCGGTGGATTTCCAGTACTGACGAGAGCATTGTTGGTCGAAATTGCGTGTTTGCAGAATCTGTATAGCCCTTATGGCGGTCCCCAGTTTCCAGTTCAGGCATACGGGCCCGGATCGATCGCGAACCCGGCGACGGGACTCTATCCTTACTCAGGATTCACCCAACCACTGCAGGGAGGCCCCGGCTATGCCTCTCCCCAAGCATACACGGGTGTCCAGGGTCCCCCTCTGATGCAATACGGCAGCCCCGCTGGCGTGACGCCCATTACCAGCATGGCCCAACAATACCCTGGCACGATGACCATCCCCACAGCATCTCCTTCCCCCGGTAAGTCTCCTTCCCGTGCCCCATCGCCCTCGGGCCAATCGCCTCTCGACGATCCATCGATCCATCGATCTTTCGATCTGCTGCCAACGGGAGCCCCCGACGCGTAGCGTAGAGCAGAAGAGAAGAGGATAGAAGAATAGAGAAGGGAAGAAGGGCTTTGGGCTTGGGCTTGGGCTTGGGCTAATCTCTCCTGCCCCCGTAGGGGCTCATGATGCCGTTGACGCCCCAGGAGCTGAGGGGCAAGGAAGAAAGGAAGGAAGGGGAGAAGGGGGTTAAGTCATTGAGAGAGATTTAGAGAGAGAAAGATTGTTTTGCGCTTAGATTTGCTCGATTGCTTTGGCTTGGTTTGGGCGGGGACGACCGAAAATTCATGATGGAGTCGGGCGCGTGTCATGTGAAGTACAGGAGTAGCACCAACCATCGCGACGGCGGGAGTCGGAGGACCCGGACCCACGCAACAATTCGCAGTGGCCACGCCGACGCAGCAACAATTCTCGACGGGCGGAGTTCCGGAGCAGCCCTCGGGTTGATCTGAGCCAGAGCCCGGCCTCGGGATTTCCTGCCCGGAGGAGCGAGCGAGCGAGGAGGCGTGCGCGCCGCCGCCGCCTCGATGGGAGCGCGCCCGCGCGAGAGCGGGCGAGGGCGGTGGAGACCGAAAGAGCGATCGATTCTGAAGGACAAAGCAGAAGCAGATGCAGAAGATGGAGATGGAGATGAAGACGGAGATGGAGGTGCAGGAGGAGGAGGAGAAGAAGCAGCAGGAGTTCCGGGCAGGTTGTCGTCGTTGCAACGAAACAGGACGATGGACACACACCTCGAGCTTGGTGGGGGAGGGGGGTGTCAGATTGGCCGCACAGGCACCCGTCTGTCCGTTGAGGTGTAGTAAATTTTGGTCTCATTTGTCACACAAAAAAGAGGGGGGAGGGGGAAGGGAGGGATGGAGGGAGGGGAAGGGAGGGGTCTCAATTCTTTATTTCCAGTCATGGTTATTGTACCGAACCTATCATGAACCTATCAATAACATGCCTCTGCCGCATGACTTCCCAATCGTCTCTTCTTCGAAAAGAGGTAGTGCTGCCATCACACGAGAGCGAGCGTTCTGCCCATTATGTCGTCTGCCGGCCCAGTCCAGTTTTCTTGTTGAATCAGCTGGGATCAGACACACTTGATGAACATTGCATATCAGCCCCGATGTCACTCTCTCGAGCTCATTTTCTATTTTGTGGGGGATGCAAGTCTGGCCTTTCACGGCTCTTTCGATCACTCTTTGCAGGCACATTCTACTCTTACCCTCTTCCACAAAAAAGTTAGGTTATTGATCAATGTCGTCTTGATTACATTGTTAAAGAGTATGAAATCGATACCTGAAAACTCGACAACTACTTCCAGAGGCTAGTAAGGTGTTGTGCATGAAGATCAAGAGACAGTCGCACAGTTCCAGGCAAACCGATTGGGGCTCTTCAACTCTCACAGTCAGGCAATTTGGCATTAGGTGTAGCTTAGGCCGGGCAAGGGAAAGTCATGGTCTTCTCTTTTTTTTGTTCATTCGTTTTACACATTTTTTTTCACTGGGGTCACGGTACACACTCTCGAGAGTTGGTGAGGAGGAGCGTAGGAAGCTGCAGAGGTGGTAAGCGGGGCGGGCGGGGCGGGGTGGGGGAGGGGACGGGATCAGGGATGGAGGGGATGGAGGGATATGGTGGGCGGGGGGATGGTGGGGCGGGGCAATTCATTACTGAGCTGAACTTTTAGCTTACTGAGGTAGATGTGCAGTGTAGGACATTATAGCCTGGAGAAGTCAATTCTGTTCTGTTCCATCGTCCGGTTTATTCAGGAGCATTCGAACCAGATAGTTGGTTCTGTAGACTGTTTCAACCCCTTGGATCTGGGCCGAGATCCATGTCAATGTCATTATCACAACCATTGCCATAAAGCAACACACATTCGTGTACCCCCTCCGTGTGTTGTTTTCTCTCTACGAGTGCCAGTGTATGCCTCTCACTAGTCTCCGTGTGCCCTCACATTTCTTCTCGTCTTATGCATGGCCCAGTGCTGCTGCCCCATGCTCTGGATCTCAATCTCCACCTCGATCAATCTCGTGCCCGTGATCAGTCAGTCATCTCGCATGTCGCTCCAAATCGCCACATACGTAGAACTATGACATTTGCCTCTTCTGCTCTTGTATGGTGCAACTCCTGTGATCGTGCACCCGCCAAAGATCGTCTGCCTCCTGCTCGATTGCTTGCTGGCTTGCTTGCGTGCTTGATTGCTGACTTGTGCTTGCTGCCATGCTGCGGACCGTCGTCATTGGCCCGCCAGCCGGCCCTGGATTCCTGGCCGTCCCAGTCGCGATGGATACACCCCCATGACACTAGACAGCGCAACTTGTCGAACCCCGTCCTCATGGGGATCCGGTCATGGAAGGTTGTCGATTGGCATGAGAGAGCGCTACATAAAGCGCGCTCTAAAGCTCGTAGCATATTGTTGTGGATCTCGAAGCTGGATTATTTATGATCTATGGCTATATTTATGTGCATACGCTCTGAAACGCTTTTGCATGCATCGCCTGGCTTTTGATGGGCTGGATATCTCGACCTCTGTCACGAATCACGTGCCGCAGCCTCGGTGCGCCTCTGACGGTTCGAGCACATCTACACTGTCGTAGAATGTGCCTCCTACGCTTTTGCCTCGCCTCGCTCGCGGCGAGGGAGGGAGCAAGAGCAAGAGCAAGAAGATGAGGGAGGATCACGAGGACGAGCACCGCGAAGTCCAGAGTCGTGAGACGGTCCACCTCTCGGTCTGAATCATGGTCTTTCATGCGACGCAGCTGTACCTCGCAGCAGTCCAGCAAGATTCGGCGGTGCACCCAGTCGCTCCAATTCTCTTCCTCCCTCCCTCCCTCCCTCCTCGGTCTCTCCATGGCCATGCTCGTCCAAATCGGGCACGCGACAAGGCGCGGATGGGGCCGGCAGCGCCCCATTAAGCCGCTAATGGCAGGCTGCGGGTCGGAGTTTAGAGGCATGATGATCGCCTCCCGCTTGTCCTCAGAGAAAGAGGCTGAGATTTGTCTGTCAGGCCATCGTGAAAAGAGGTCGCCCTTTCCACCTGGGCCAGTTGAATGTTCAACGCTTGGTGACAAGGTTAGCTGGAGGGGGAGGGGATCCGAAGCTCCAACTATGGCCCCAACTTCAGACCAGCTTTTGGGTCACGGGTCAGGCGCGATGGCGACTGCAGGCAGGCAGAGCTGCGCCGATGGCTCTCGGAGAAAGCGCGAAGAAACGAGATAAAGATCCGGGGGGCGAGTAAATATGGAATATTGATAAATGCTGGATCTGGGCATGGATGTGCCTTTCTTTCTTTTCTTAGGGCGCTAGGAGCAGGAGGCGGAGAGGGGCATCATGGGCCCCAATCGCAGTACTTCGGCCCTCTGCTGGAGCCAGGCAGGGGATAAGGACGGATGTTGAGTCATGAAGATGGCATTGAATGAAGTTGACCCACACTCTAGAGCCGGACCTTCACAGGAGGTCCTTGTGGCTGCTATCGACAACTTCGGACTGCGCTTGAGATAAGGAATGCCGATGCCCTCATTATGGTGCCATTCAATGGCTACTTGCTGGTATCCCCCCGCGAACATCTCGCTCCCCCCTCATAGATCCCGTAGCTGTGTGCCATCTTCCAGGTTCCCGTAACCCCTCTTCGCCATCGATCCCTCCAATCGCTCTCCCCCACTCTTCGCAGTTGCCACTCGACGGACGACCTCCAAGGTGGGAGGCAATTTCACCCTCCCGGTCTGTCATCATTGTACCTCGTCCCTCCCCCCTCCCCCCCTCCATCTCCCGATCGGGGGGAGTCCTCGCTCGCACCAGGCGGGGGTACTGCGGGGGCTGGGGCTGGGGCTGCGAGGCGGGGGGGGGTGGGGTTGGGTCTCGGCTATTGATGGCCGGTCAAAACTGTCAACTCGCAGGGTCTTTGACATTCTGTAACCAATCCTATCCTGATGCGCGGGTGGGGTTTGGGGCTGGGGGAGGAATTATGATCTACTGCGGGTGCGGATCTGCTCATTCAAGAGCTGCGGTTCGCCCCGCTAGTCGCTCCGGTTGAGGCCATCATGACTGGCGGACAAGCCCCGCCCGCCCGCACCCGCAGGCCGCCAGGAGCCCGGTCCAGCGACACTCCAGCCCCGCCCAGGCCCAGCCCCCGTCCAAGCCCAAGCCCAAGCCCCGTCCAGGCCAGAGAGGCAGGACGGACCTACGGTATATTCGCCGCTGCCCCCAGTTGACGTCACCCTGCGTGGCGCCACCATCCCCCCCACCCCCCTCGCGGATTCTCGCTCACTCCGTCCTTCCGGCGACTTGCACCCCCTCGCCCACCGATGCTACCGGTCGGTCGGTCGTTCGGTCGTCCGGGCCGGCGGTCTGTCTGTCCCGCCCCGTTCGACGTCGCTTTCTAGAAGGTCGGCCAGCCCCCGCCGCGCCGCTGCCCCTCCGCTTGTCCGGTTCGATCTCGTTCCCCTCCTAAACCCTGCCCCTCCTCCCCTCCTCCTCTCTCGTTCCCAGCATGCGACCATGTCGTCGCCATTCGAGCGCCTTGATTGTCGAATTTGGCTTCCGTGGGCGATTTTTGTCATCCCTCTCTTATCGCATCGGATCGGGGTCACCCTCTCGCTCTCTTCGAGGTTTGTCTGGAACTAAGTGAAGCCCCTCGAGTCGCTCTCTTCAATTCTTCGATGGCTCGGGCCGTCGAAGGGCGACTTGCATGAATGGCAACTTCCACGCACGCGCAAAGATTGAGAAACGGTTGTGCGGGCCTTAAAATGCTACCGATAAAATGGCTCCAAAGTTGGGACGCTGCGCGAGTTAGTTGGCCATGTCATATCTTGCAGGGTAGATTAAACCTCGAGGCGGAAAGATCATAACTCGACCCCTTTTCTCGCATCGTTCTTCCTCCTCGTTCGTCTTGGATCTGGTTCGAATTCTTGGGTCTGCGAGGTGAGGAGGAAAACTTTCAGGGGCTTCAGAAGTGCTAGGGGCCGAAAGGGGCTGGAGAGTAGAAGTAAAGTGGTGACTGTTCAGAGGACGCAGCAGTGAGCATGTCGGAATCCGTCCTTCGAATCTCTTACTCGGTAAGGGGGTACTTTTAGCATTCAAACGAATTGTTGCTTTCTTCATAATGCACGACACATTTCCTAGACACATGGAGAGTTGGTACGAAGAGCACGTCATTGCCACGAAAGATCGACCGACAGTCGCTACATACTACTACTACTTCTGTGGCAGCGGTCAAATATGAACATGCTGTAACTCCTCCTCCTCCTCCTGAGCCCTCCTGTCGCCGCAGGCCCCAGGTGGATATGAAAGCCGCACTCGATTAAAAAAATTCCTCCCAAGAACGTGATAACTCATGAGGGCGTCAACTAGGGGAGCAGACCAGGCACCGCCACCGGTTTGCAGCGCCAACAGCAGCAGCAGCAGCAGCTAGTAGCTACGTAGCAACGCAGGACGCTAGTCAATGAGCTGTGAATCTGTAATGAACCCTGAAATCTTACCGCATTTACTCGCACCACGATTGATTGCTTGTCGGAATTTTCGAGATTTGTGGGGAAAGGCACGTT